GTGCGTGCAATTACCATCTGAATTCATGAATAATGAGGTTCTGTTTGTGCAGGCACCGCCTGAGGCACCAAATAACTCAAATTTGTATAGGCCGGGTGATAAATGGATGACATACTCGGTGCAATCAGAATATGATTCACACGGATAATCGAATTTATATGTCTGTGTGACCTCATCGATGCTAACCTTACCTTACTTGACGGATTATTTCTAAATAGTAGGATATCATTAGTCAAAGTAGTTAAGGGTCCACTGTAAGGCCAAATAAGGTCTATCGTCGTCCCAAAAATATTGCTCGAGATGGTGTTTTACTAAGGCCCAAAACTTAAAAAAAACACAAAAAAATTAACTTTACTCTTTTGAGATCCTTATCGGATATGCATCAATTTGATGCAGTATCGCAGTTCAAATCTGATTTTTTAATGTAGATGTACTCTAACATCCTTTAAAAAATGCAAAATGATATTAATTAAGCTTTTTATTTCTGTATCATACACGAAACAAATCGTTCATTATACTAAAATTTATCAAAGTTTGATTAATGAAAAAATAATATCTAAATTTTTACATTGAGTCAGCTATTGATATGGTTAATATTAAATCTTGTAAAAATTGGCATTATCCAGAATAATACCCACTAAAATACACAATTTTTTTTAAAAAAAAATTTATCAATTGTTATGGTATATCTTTATGATAATGAATAAAATGCTTATTTTTCATAAGTAAATACATAATTTATGCTTAAACACAAAAAATAACACGAAAATTTTTGGCCAACATATCTAAACTAAGGATAATGTTTTGAATATATAAGCAATAATACTTTGTCCAGGGAATTAAATTTGTGCTATCCAATTGTCAATTCTTTGAATTTTTTTTAAATGCAAGATATCCCGGCATTAGCCTCAATAAATATATATATTATGCATCATAATATTAGTTTGTAATGGCATTAAAGCGAAATTCCTAATTTCCTCTCAATTAAATTCCTTGAAAAACATTGGAATTAATGATTGGAAATAGGTCAAAAAATTCCTAATATAAAACTTATACTTAAGATAAAATTAAAATTCGAAAATATCTATTTTTCAAAACACGCATCCAAAAGCGAAAAAATTCGAAAAAATCATGTTCTTATAAAACTCACTGATTTTGCAATTTTTATGAGATTTGAAGTGATAGAATATATTACCATCTTATTGAAACATATGCTTCATTGTTGTATTCACATAATATTAATCAGAACACTAGGAAAAGTGGATTTTCGAAAAATGACGATAACGATTATTTGCAAATCACCTCTCAATTTTGAGAGACTTTCAATTTTTACAGTGGACCCTTAATCGAAGTCGTCATTGTAAAAAATGGCAGATCAAACTCAATTTAAAAATGTCATGATTTATGCATTAGTTAATTTTGATTTGCCCAATCTATTTTTTTATTTTTAGATTATCAAACATAAGTTTTGCAATAGATTGTACAACAATCCTTATATTGTTTTTAGCATATCGTAAACGAGCAGGTGATTTTATATTGTTGTTTCAAAAATTATTCAAAATTCTTTTTTCTTTCAGCTAAGACCATCGTTACGAATAAAAACGCATTGTTATTGCTATTCAGTTGTGTTTATTAAATCCCAGTAAAAAGGTTATTTAGAAAATCCAGATTTTTTTGAACTCATTTCATAAAGGGATTCTAGATGGAATAAATGCCATCATAAATATTGTTGCGAATTTGCGATTTTGATGATTATTTGGATAAAAAAAAATTAATTGAATCAGATTCTTTAGATTGGCTTTATTTTCAATAAGAATGATATAAAGAAGCATAAAGTTAAAATCGTGCAAACATTGGATGTTTTGTGTTTGAAGTTTAACGTTGTCGAGAATTGTGATAATTAAGCGACCATGGCCTTCCCGGATTCCGGGATACGATTTAATGTCACTAAATGTGTACTCGTGGTTAAGGAATGCATATGGATGTTTTCCAATTGGATTATAAAAACTGTCATATGCTTGGATTTCTCCGGGAGGAATGACTGCATTTTTCGACAGCACCCACGAACTTCCACCGCCAGAACCACCATCACCATGGTGTCCAGCGAATCCACCAAACCATCCGCTACCTGATCCTGGTCTGTCGCTTTCCATTTCACCTCGTTTAACTCCCCATTGATTCTTAGAGCCGTCTTTTTGAGCAGATTCACCAGAACCGAAACTGAAGCCGTAGGTGGAATTTGCTACATGACTCGATTTTAATTCACCATTAATCCAAAACCCTTGAGCTGTAAAACCACCACCAGCACCGCCGGAACCATCATCAGCTCCCATAAATTCAGTCTGATGAGCAGGACAGTTGTCAGAACCGCCACCACCGCCGCTCACAATTACACGATGCCAAAGATCATTCTGCAAAAACATGACGGCGGTTTGGCCACCTCCGCTCCCTGCTCCATTATTTCCTGGTTGCCAGTACCAATTTGCAGCCCATCCTCCACCTCCATATCCGCCTTTCACCATGTTTGATGGGTAGTAATCGGAGTCTTGATTTGCTGAAGCTCGGGTACAAGTATGGATTCCTTTTCCGCCGATAGTGGCAAAAGCGGTTATTTTGTGGAGGATTTTGATAATGCCTGATATGTAACCGCCAGCACCACCACGGTTAACAATCTGACGGCAAACAGCATTTCCGCCATAAAGGAAGGCAGCTTCGCGGTGCGTGCAATTACCATCTGAATTCATGAATAATGAGGTTCTGTTTGTGCAGGCACCGCCTGAGGCACCAAATAACTCAAATTTGTATAGGCCGGGTGATAAATGGATGACATACTCGGTGCAATCAGAATATGATTCACACGGATAATCGAATTTATATGTCTGTGTGACCTCATCGATGCTAACCTTACCTTTACTTGACGGATTATTTTCTAAATAGTAGGATATCATTAGTCAAAGTAGTTAAGGGTCCACTGTAAGGCCAAATAAGGTCTATCGTCGTCCCAAAAATATTGCTCGAGATGGTGTTTTACTAAGGCCCAAAACTTAAAAAAACACAAAAAAATTAACTTTACTCTTTTGAGATCCTTATCGGATATGCATCAATTTGATGCAGTATCGCAGTTCAAATCTGATTTTTTAATGTAGATGTACTCTAACATCCTTTAAAAAATGCAAAATGATATTAATTAAGCTTTTTATTTCTGTATCATACACGAAACAAAATCGTTCATTATACTAAAATTTATCAAAGTTTGATTAATGAAAAAATAATATCTAAATTTTTACATTGAGTCAGCTATTGATATGGTTAATATTAAATCTTGTAAAAATTGGCATTATCCAGAATAATACCCACTAAAATACACAATTTTTTTTAAAAAAAAATTTATCAATTGTTATGGTATATCTTTATGATAATGAATAAAATGCTTATTTTTCATAAGTAAATACATAATTTATGCTTAAACACAAAAAATAACACGAAAATTTTTGGCCAACATATCTAAACTAAGGATAATGTTTTGAATATATAAGCAATAATACTTTGTCCAGGGAATTAAATTTGTGCTATCCAATTGTCAATTCTTTGAATTTTTTTTAAATGCAAGATATCCCGGCATTAGCCTCAATAAATATATATATTATGCATCATAATATTAGTTTGTAATGGCATTAAAGCGAAATTCCTAATTTCCTCTCAATTAAATTCCTTGAAAAACATTGGAATTAATGATTGGAAATAGGTCAAAAAATTCCTAATATAAAACTTATACTTAAGATAAAATTAAAATTCGAAAATATCTATTTTTTCAAAACACGCATCCAAAAGCGAAAAAATTCGAAAAAATCATGTTCTTATAAAACTCACTGATTTTGCAATTTTTATGAGATTTGAAGTGATAGAATATATTACCATCTTATTGAAACATATGCTTCATTGTTGTATTCACATAATATTAATCAGAACACTAGGAAAAGTGGATTTTCGAAAAATGACGATAACGATTATTTGCAAATCACCTCTCAATTTTGAGAGACTTTCAATTTTTACAGTGGACCCTTAATCGAAGTCGTCATTGTAAAAAATGGCAGATCAAACTCAATTTAAAAATGTCATGATTTATGCATTAGTTAATTTTGATTTGCCCAATCTATTTTTTTATTTTTAGATTATCAAACATAAGTTTTGCAATAGATTGTACAACAATCCTTATATTGTTTTTAGCATATCGTAAACGAGCAGGTGATTTTATATTGTTGTTTCAAAAATTATTCAAAATTCTTTTTCTTTCAGCTAAGACCATCGTTACGAATAAAAACGCATTGTTATTGCTATTCAGTTGTGTTTATTAAATCCCAGTAAAAAGGTTATTTAGAAAATCCAGATTTTTTTGAACTCATTTCATAAAGGGATTCTAGATGGAATAAATGCCATCATAAATATTGTTGCGAATTTGCGATTTTGATGATTATTTGGATAAAAAAAAATTAATTGAATCAGATTCTTTAGATTGGCTTTATTTTTCAATAAGAATGATATAAAGAAGCATAAAGTTAAAATCGTGCAAACATTGGATGTTTTGTGTTTGAAGTTTAACGTTGTCGAGAATTGTGATAATTAAGCGACCATGGCCTTCCCGGATTCCGGGATACGATTTAATGTCACTAAATGTGTACTCGTGGTTAAGGAATGCATATGGATGTTTTCCAATTGGATTATAAAAACTGTCATATGCTTGGATTTCTCCGGGAGGAATGACTGCATTTTTCGACAGCACCCACGAACTTCCACCGCCAGAACCACCATCACCATGGTGTCCAGCGAATCCACCAAACCATCCGCTACCTGATCCTGGTCTGTCGCTTTCCATTTCACCTCGTTTAACTCCCCATTGATTCTTAGAGCCGTCTTTTTGAGCAGATTCACCAGAACCGAAACTGAAGCCGTAGGTGGAATTTGCTACATGACTCGATTTTAATTCACCATTAATCCAAAACCCTTGAGCTGTAAAACCACCACCAGCACCGCCGGAACCATCATCAGCTCCCATAAATTCAGTCTGATGAGCAGGACAGTTGTCAGAACCGCCACCACCGCCGCTCACAATTACACGATGCCAAAGATCATTCTGCAAAAACATGACGGCGGTTTGGCCACCTCCGCTCCCTGCTCCATTATTTCCTGGTTGCCAGTACCAATTTGCAGCCCATCCTCCACCTCCATATCCGCCTTTCACCATGTTTGATGGGTAGTAATCGGAGTCTTGATTTGCTGAAGCTCGGGTACAAGTATGGATTCCTTTTCCGCCGATAGTGGCAAAAGCGGTTATTTTGTGGAGGATTTTTATAATGCCTGATATGTAACCGCCAGCACCACCACGGTTAACAATCTGACGGCAAACAGCATTTCCGCCATAAAGGAAGGCAGCTTCGCGGTGCGTGCAATTACCATCTGAATTCATGAATAATGAGGTTCTGTTTGTGCAGGCACCGCCTGAGGCACCAAATAACTCAAATTTGTATAGGCCGGGTGATAAATGGATGACATACTCGGTGCAATCAGAATATGATTCACACGGATAATCGAATTTATATGTCTGTGTGACCTCATCGATGCTAACCTTACCTTTACTTGACGGATTATTTTCTAAATAGTAGGATATCATTAGTCAAAGTAGTTAAGGGTCCACTGTAAGGCCAAATAAGGTCTATCGTCGTCCCAAAAATATTGCTCGAGATGGTGTTTTACTAAGGCCCAAAACTTAAAAAAACACAAAAAAATTAACTTTACTCTTTTGAGATCCTTATCGGATATGCATCAATTTGATGCAGTATCGCAGTTCAAATCTGATTTTTTAATGTAGATGTACTCTAACATCCTTTAAAAAATGCAAAATGATATTAATTAAGCTTTTTATTTCTGTATCATACACGAAACAAAATCGTTCATTATACTAAAATTTATCAAAGTTTGATTAATGAAAAAATAATATCTAAATTTTTACATTGAGTCAGCTATTGATATGGTTAATATTAAATCTTGTAAAAATTGGCATTATCCAGAATAATACCCACTAAAATACACAATTTTTTTTAAAAAAAAATTTATCAATTGTTATGGTATATCTTTATGATAATGAATAAAATGCTTATTTTTCATAAGTAAATACATAATTTATGCTTAAACACAAAAAATAACACGAAAATTTTTGGGCGCGTAAAGGGTTGGCGTCCTAAGGCGTCCTGATGTAAACTATTCAATTTTTGAGAAGTTTACACCATAATTGAATAGTTTATGGCGTCCTGAGAGGAGATTTCAATGGGTATGGCGTCCTAAAAAATAGAAGAAAATGATTTTTTCTCGATTTTTCTAGAAATTGAATTTTTTAAAAAAGAAAAAAATCAAAACGTATACATTCAAGAAAGACTATAAATGAAGATTTTTCTATTTTTTTTTCATTCTAAAACATCTTTTTTTGGATAATTTTTTTTTAATAAATATGTAAGAAAGATTGAAGAAAAAGTAAATTTACTTTAAGAAAATTCGTTTTACATGATGTAAGACCCATAACAACTATAAATATTCAATTATTTAAAATAAAAAAAGAAAAACAGATTAAATGTATCTCACATCAAAATCCATTGACCTAAGGATGTTAAGTTTCTGTTTTTAAAAGTTGATATTTTTTTTTAATTTTAAGAAAATTAATAGCATGTTATTAGAAGTGTAAGCTATATCTGTTTGTTTTTTATTATAACAAATTCAAAATTCTCTTATAAGGACTAGATGAAATCTGTATTATTAAATCATTAGCTAAATGAAGGTTCAAATAGAAAGTAAATATCAATTTATATGATACTGAAACCAAATAGTTCTTTTAATAAAAGATAACACGCTGAAAATTATTGAGTATTTGCAAATCTCAAAAATCTATTGGTGAATTTGGCTCAACTTTTAAAAATTATAACATCCATATCAAATCATAAAAGCAGACAAAAATTAAAGCCAAACCTATCGGCCAATTTTTTTTGATATTTTGATTTTTGAGGTATACTTTTAAAAGTGGATTTAAAGCACTTATGAAAAAACATTAACTTCTGTCGTTATGATTATTGATTTAGACAATAATGATTTTAATCTTTGATTATCAAAACACTAAAGTCATCTTTTTAACATTTGCTTGGTAGCATTAACTCAAGTCTAAAGTACTATTTTATGTGGCACTCTTAGAATTTTTGTATTCATTGTACACGCTGAAATAGTACCTTAAAGTTATGGCGGACTTTCAAAAAATAGTTTGGTCACCTTTTCAAATTTAGATTTTTTTTCAAATCATGCGAATTGATTGAATAATTGCATATTTTATCCCATGCATCTAGAAGTATGTGTAATATTTTTGCTTTCATCAAGAAATTGTCGAATTTGATCTTAATTTTTTTTGAAAAATATACTTTTAGAAAAAGAAATCGTGATTGAATAGCTGCCCATGCTGTAAAAGGGTTATTTTTACAAGTAAAAAAATTGTTATTTTTCGAGCAAGTCGAGGCTTTTTTACCATCTTATTTTTGAAAAATTTACGAAAAATTATATCTGAAAAAACGCTTCATTTTGATATCTTACAATGATAAAATACCAATGTTGCTGGGATATAATAGCTACACCTGGACATCTACTACATTAATGCGTATGACAGGTAAAGTTGATTTCAAAAGTATAGCCTGGAAAGATTACAATAAATCAACGATAATTCAAAAAAATTTCTTATAAGTTAACATAATAAAAATTTAATTTTTATATTGCTTGTATTATACTTAAGTATATAATATATTTAAATCTTAGAATGAAAATTCGGGACGCCCTAGCTATTCAATTTTCCCTTAGGACGCCCATAAACCTCTCAAAAATGTGATGTAAATATCACAATTTTGAGAAATTTACATCAGGACGCCTTAGGACGCCAACCCCCTTTTTTACCAAATTTTTGGCCAACATATCTAAACTAAGGATAATGTTTTGAATATATAAGCAATAATACTTTGTCCAGGGAATTAAATTTGTGCTATCCAATTGTCAATTCTTTGAATTTTTTTTAAATGCAAGATATCCCGGCATTAGCCTCAATAAATATATATATTATGCATCATAATATTAGTTTGTAATGGCATTAAAGCGAAATTCCTAATTTCCTCTCAATTAAATTCCTTGAAAAACATTGGAATTAATGATTGGAAATAGGTCAAAAAATTCCTAATATAAAACTTATACTTAAGATAAAATTAAAATTCGAAAATATCTATTTTTCAAAACACGCATCCAAAAGCGAAAAAATTCGAAAAAATCATGTTCTTATAAAACTCACTGATTTTGCAATTTTTATGAGATTTGAAGTGATAGAATATATTACCATCTTATTGAAACATATGCTTCATTGTTGTATTCACATAATATTAATCAGAACACTAGGAAAAGTGGATTTTCGAAAAATGACGATAACGATTATTTGCAAATCACCTCTCAATTTTGAGAGACTTTCAATTTTTACAGTGGACCCTTAATCGAAGTCGTCATTGTAAAAAATGGCAGATCAAACTCAATTTAAAAATGTCATGATTTATGCATTAGTTAATTTTGATTTGCCCAATCTATTTTTTTATTTTTAGATTATCAAACATAAGTTTTGCAATAGATTGTACAACAATCCTTATATTGTTTTTAGCATATCGTAAACGAGCAGGTGATTTTATATTGTTGTTTCAAAAATTATTCAAAATTCTTTTTTCTTTCAGCTAAGACCATCGTTACGAATAAAAACGCATTGTTATTGCTATTCAGTTGTGTTTATTAAATCCCAGTAAAAAGGTTATTTAGAAAATCCGATTTTTTTGAACTCATTTCATAAAGGGATTCTAGATGGAATAAATGCCATCATAAATATTGTTGCGAATTTGCGATTTTGATGATTATTTGGATAAAAAAAAATTAATTGAATCAGATTCTTTAGATTGGCTTTATTTTTCAATAAGAATGATATAAAGAAGCATAAAGTTAAAATCGTGCAAACATTGGATGTTTTGTGTTTGAAGTTTAACGTTGTCGAGAATTGTGATAATTAAGCGACCATGGCCTTCCCGGATTCCGGGATACGATTTAATGTCACTAAATGTGTACTCGTGGTTAAGGAATGCATATGGATGTTTTCCAATTGGATTATAAAAACTGTCATATGCTTGGATTTCTCCGGGAGGAATGACTGCATTTTTCGACAGCACCCACGAACTTCCACCGCCAGAACCACCATCACCATGGTGTCCAGCGAATCCACCAAACCATCCGCTACCTGATCCTGGTCTGTCGCTTTCCATTTCACCTCGTTTAACTCCCCATTGATTCTTAGAGCCGTCTTTTTGAGCAGATTCACCAGAACCGAAACTGAAGCCGTAGGTGGAATTTGCTACATGACTCGATTTTAATTCACCATTAATCCAAAACCCTTGAGCTGTAAAACCACCACCAGCACCGCCGGAACCATCATCAGCTCCCATAAATTCAGTCTGATGAGCAGGACAGTTGTCAGAACCGCCACCACCGCCGCTCACAATTACACGATGCCAAAGATCATTCTGCAAAAACATGACGGCGGTTTGGCCACCTCCGCTCCCTGCTCCATTATTTCCTGGTTGCCAGTACCAATTTGCAGCCCATCCTCCACCTCCATATCCGCCTTTCACCATGTTTGATGGGTAGTAATCGGAGTCTTGATTTGCTGAAGCTCGGGTACAAGTATGGATTCCTTTTCCGCCGATAGTGGCAAAAGCGGTTATTTTGTGGAGGATTTTTATAATGCCTGATATGTAACCGCCAGCACCACCACGGTTAACAATCTGACGGCAAACAGCATTTCCGCCATAAAGGAAGGCAGCTTCGCGGTGCGTGCAATTACCATCTGAATTCATGAATAATGAGGTTCTGTTTGTGCAGGCACCGCCTGAGGCACCAAATAACTCAAATTTGTATAGGCCGGGTGATAAATGGATGACATACTCGGTGCAATCAGAATATGATTCACACGGATAATCGAATTTATATGTCTGTGTGACCTCATCGATGCTAACCTTACCTTTACTTGACGGATTATTTTCTAAATAGTAGGATATCATTAGTCAAAGTAGTTAATCTGAGTCATCATTGTAAAAAAATGGCAGATCAAACTCAATTTAAAAATGTCATGATTTATACATTAGTCAATTTTGATTTGCCTAATCTAATTTTTTTAGATTTTCAATTATAAGTTTTGCACTAGCTAGTTTCACAATCTTCAATCCTCATATTGTTTTTAGCATATTGTAAACGAACATGTGATTCTATATTATTATTCCATAAATTATTCATTATTCTATTCACTATGGTCATCATTACACATAAAGACACATAGGTTTTATTTCATCTAAATAAGAATGATATAAAGAAGCATAAAGTTAAAATCGTGCAAACATTGGATGTTTTGTGTTTGAAGTTTAACGTTGTCGAGAATTGTGATAATTAAGCGACCATGGCCTTCCCGGATTCCGGGATACGATTTAATGTCACTAAATGTGTACTCGTGGTTAAGGAATGCATATGGATGTTTTCCAATTGGATTATAAAAACTGTCATATGCTTGGATTTCTCCGGGAGGAATGACTGCATTTTTCGACAGCACCCACGAACTTCCACCGCCAGAACCACCATCACCATGGTGTCCAGCGAATCCACCAAACCATCCGCTACCTGATCCTGGTCTGTCGCTTTCCATTTCACCTCGTTTAACTCCCCATTGATTCTTAGAGCCGTCTTTTTGAGCAGATTCACCAGAACCGAAACTGAAGCCGTAGGTGGAATTTGCTACATGACTCGATTTTAATTCACCATTAATCCAAAACCCTTGAGCTGTAAAACCACCACCAGCACCGCCGGAACCATCATCAGCTCCATAAATTCAGTCTGATGAGCAGGACAGTTGTCAGAACCGCCACCACCGCCGCTCACAATTACACGATGCCAAAGATCATTCTGCAAAACATGACGGCGGTTTGGCCACCTCCGCTCCCTGCTCCATTATTTCCTGGTTGCCAGTACCAATTTGCAGCCCATCCTCCACCTCCATATCCGCCTTTCACCATGTTTGATGGGTAGTAATCGGAGTCTTGATTTGCTGAAGCTCGGGTACAAGTATGGATTCCTTTTCCGCCGATAGTGGCAAAAGCGGTTATTTTGTGGAGGATTTTTATAATGCCTGATATGTAACCGCCAGCACCACCACGGTTAACAATCTGACGGCAAACAGCATTTCCGCCATAAAGGAAGGCAGCTTCGCGGTGCGTGCAATTACCATCTGAATTCATGAATAATGAGGTTCTGTTTGTGCAGGCACCGCCTGAGGCACCAAATAACTCAAATTTGTATAGGCCGGGTGATAAATGGATGACATACTCGGTGCAATCAGAATATGATTCACACGGATAATCGAATTTATATGTCTGTGTGACCTCATCGATGCTAACCTTACCTTTACTTGACGGATTATTTTCTAAATAGTAGGATATCATTAGTCAAAGTAGTTAATCTGAGTCATCATTGTAAAAAAATGGCAGATCAAACTCAATTTAAAAATGTCATGATTTATACATTAGTCAATTTTGATTTGCCTAATCTAATTTTTTTAGATTTTCAATTATAAGTTTTGCACTAGCTAGTTTCACAATCTTCAATCCTCATATTGTTTTTAGCATATTGTAAACGAACATGTGATTCTATATTATTATTCCATAAATTATTCATTATTCTATTCACTATGGTCATCATTACACATAAAGACACATAGGTTTTATTTCTCAATAAGAATGATATAAAGAAGCATAAAGTTAAAATCGTGCAAACATTGGATGTTTTGTGTTTGAAGTTTAACGTTGTCGAGAATTGTGATAATTAAGCGACCATGGCCTTCCCGGATTCCGGGATACGATTTAATGTCACTAAATGTGTACTCGTGGTTAAGGAATGCATATGGATGTTTTCCAATTGGATTATAAAAACTGTCATATGCTTGGATTTCTCCGGGAGGAATGACTGCATTTTTCGACAGCACCCACGAACTTCCACCGCCAGAACCACCATCACCATGGTGTCCAGCGAATCCACCAAACCATCCGCTACCTGATCCTGGTCTGTCGCTTTCCATTTCACCTCGTTTAACTCCCCATTGATTCTTAGAGCCGTCTTTTTGAGCAGATTCACCAGAACCGAAACTGAAGCCGTAGGTGGAATTTGCTACATGACTCGATTTTAATTCACCATTAATCCAAAACCCTTGAGCTGTAAAACCACCACCAGCACCGCCGGAACCATCATCAGCTCCCATAAATTCAGTCTGATGAGCAGGACAGTTGTCAGAACCGCCACCACCGCCGCTCACAATTACACGATGCCAAAGATCATTCTGCAAAAACATGACGGCGGTTTGGCCACCTCCGCTCCCTGCTCCATTATTTCCTGGTTGCCAGTACCAATTTGCAGCCCATCCTCCACCTCCATATCCGCCTTTCACCATGTTTGATGGGTAGTAATCGGAGTCTTGATTTGCTGAAGCTCGGGTACAAGTATGGATTCCTTTTCCGCCGATAGTGGCAAAAGCGGTTATTTTGTGGAGGATTTTTATAATGCCTGATATGTAACCGCCAGCACCACCACGGTTAACAATCTGACGGCAAACAGCATTTCCGCCATAAAGGAAGGCAGCTTCGCGGTGCGTGCAATTACCATCTGAATTCATGAATAATGAGGTTCTGTTTGTGCAGGCACCGCCTGAGGCACCAAATAACTCAAATTTGTATAGGCCGGGTGATAAATGGATGACATACTCGGTGCAATCAGAATATGATTCACACGGATAATCGAATTTATATGTCTGTGTGACCTCATCGATGCTAACCTTACCTTTACTTGACGGATTATTTTCTAAATAGTAGGATATCATTAGTCAAAGTAGTTAATCTGAGTCATCATTGTAAAAAATGGCTGACTTAACTCAGTTAAGATCAGTTTTATAAAAGTTCTAAAATCATATGAAACAATCAAATAAATGAAAAAAGAAATTTCCCGAATAAATTAAAATGCGTTAAATTATGAAATATGATAAGTTAAATAGACTTTCATCTCATAGAGTTGATGTAAGTATGTCGATGGTATGTTTTTCAAATTTTGCACAAAAATCATTCTTAACTGTTTCCATTGTCAATGGCAATGCAACAGCATAGACATAATAGTTTAAAATGCCTATGTAAAATGACAAAATATGAGTTTGAAAATTGATGGTAAATTTATTCTTATTCCAGAAGGTTAAAATTTTTAATAAAAAAACGTAAAATAATTTCATAATATAAATCTATAATTTTTGAAGAATTCCTATCATTCTAAATTTGAAATTTTGCCACCTCAGATTTTATTAGTCAAATTTTTTTTAAACTCCATAAGTCAAAATGGCATCAAAATCAGAAATACTTAGGAGTTCATTTGTTGATATGAACAATTTTACAGATGGTAATTATGATCAATACAATCAAAAATTCGAAATATTCAATTCAGATAGCTATTTACGTAAGTTATTTGAAAATTACAAATTCCCGTATCCCATAGATTTAATACATTTTGCTAATCACGATCCAGTACTTCAAGATTCCGTAAATATTGAAAATTTATTATCCCAATTTCAAATTGAGATATCCTCTATCAAAAAAACGCAATACATTGTTCAAGAATTATGCGAATCTATCTTCAAATGTGAATACGAAGACTTATATACAATAATTCGTTCAAAAATCAACGAGAAAGAGATCAAAAATGAATGGACATCATTATTTATATTAGATAGAGAAGGAAACTCTGAAGAAATTCAGGCTGCAATTGATGATTACTTATCTCATGTCAAATTTAACGTTCCTGATACCAATTGGGAGCTAAATTCACTTGATGACTTATTCTCAATGCATATACTCGCTTGTTCACTCAATATTAGATTGTTTTTCGTTAACATTTTATCACAAGATTTATTATTCACTCAACCAATTGGTAGCTACAATGCTAAGTACTCTCTTTATGTATTATTCAATCCTGATAAGACATTTTCCTTCTTACAACCTTCTAAATGCTATTCCAAGTTATTAAATCCGAAATTATTAGAAAATGCCAATAAGTCTAAAGTAATTGACAGGAAATCAGAGAAAATCGAAATTACAGAGACAACCGTTGAGTCAGAACCGCAATTTTCGCCAAAACAAATTCAAAATTTGGCAGATAAAGAAAAACTCATTTGTGTTAAAGTTTTCGACAGCAATACACAAAACTGGAATCGTATGCGCTATAGTGAGAAGTTTTTAGACAAAATCATCCACAAAAACCAGCCAATAATTATTGATCGACCAGAATTTGGAATTCAGAAGCTCCCAATCTACGCAGACATTCTCTGTTTGAAGTCCATATACGATTACATGTTCCTTGACTCAGAACGTCATTGTACATGTTGTAATAAGATTATTCAGCCACAAATGACGATGATTCCGACAATCAAGGAAGGATCACGAGATTCAGTTCCTTCAATCTCCTTCTGCTGCTACGAATGCGCTTGTAAGATGAAAACGTCATTTTTTGACAAATCAATAAATTATTTTCCACAAATCTTCAAGCCGTCTACGCACAGCCGTAATGCAGTCAAGAGTGAAGAGACAATCAAGAAGACGTACGAAGCAATCAAAGAATCCTTCGAGAACATGCGGAAAACGAAAAATTCCAAACAAATTGAGAAAATTTTCAATTTATTGAAAAATACAATTAAATACATCAACGGAGTTTTCGTCCAATTCGCTGATTCAAAGGTAATAAATAACCTGAAGTCCATCAATGACGTCAAGTGCATTACAACTCTCGAGAACACTGAGAATTATCCACTTTTGCCTTCGATTTTTGATGAATACATTTCTCAGAATCCGATTGAAAGAGAGTTTTGTCCTTATTCCGTTTTGAAGTCGCCGCAATTCCTTTTAAACGAGTTCTCCAATGAGCTGCAGAACTTCGACAGTGATGTCCAAATGATGGACTTGATGAAACAAGGAAATGAAATCAGAAAATTCGAAATTTCAAAGGATTTCAAAATTGTTTTTTCTGATGAAAATTCAAATGAATTGAATAGTTTACAAAAAACCGTCCAAACAAAAATTTTCAATGTCACCAAAAACGGCAAATTCTTATGTCGTTTAACAGCAGAAAACAACAAAGATTTGTTGGATGTTTATTCTGATGACAAAAATATTTTGGCGGTTTTCAAAGAAGATGAAATTGACGGTTTTGCCACTCTTTCAATTTATTTAGGATTAGTTGGTACTATTGATATTTCCAAGGAACTTCCTGTAATTAAATATGAGAAGTGCAAATTCCAGAAAGGTCTGTTTTTGCCGAAATCAAGTAATTTGTATCTTTTGTGCGAAAAACCAGAATCAATGAGTTTGTTGACAATTAAATTTGGCTTTGAAAAAAGATTGATCGTAGATTCCAACGAAAACGACGAAAAGATCAAGGATATCGCTGCGGGTGATGAAGATAACGTTTACGAGATTGTTCAAACAGATGTAAACTCATTTGAAATATTTAAGGTTGGAGATGAAGAATCTGTTTGTCAGTTGAAAGATTTTGACAGAAATAATTACGAATTTTTCGGTTTCGATTCGTTTGTTTTCTTCAAATCTAATGATACAAAACTGACAATCCTTAACGGTCAAGTCCTTGATGACATAAAAGTGACAACAAACAAATCTGACAAAAATGTCACTTTTTACAATTCACTTTTTGAGAGAAAATCTGACAAAGAATTTTACATTATTTCGAATGAAAATTCCAGATTTTTACCACAAAAAAGTGTTTCTTCCATTCCTTCTTTGATTCACAATGGATTTGTTGAATCATATTTCGCTGTTTCATGTCATGAACTATTGAACATTGTTCCTAAAGAAAACAAATCGAATTTGTTTGTTTTCGTTTTGGATTCGAATTCAACTCAGTTTTTGACATTTGTCAAAACCGTTTTTGGAATTGAAATTTCATTAGTTGAAGGAATTTCTTTGTTTATTTCTAACAACAACTATTTGATGATTTTCTATGAACCAAACAAAAACAGTTTTGAAACAGAATTTCTTTCATTGATTGGAAACAAAAATATCTTTGTTTGTGCTGTGAAAGGTCCAAAGATAATCAAAGAAAGTATTTCAATTCTCAAAGAAGATTTCACTGTTATTTACTTCGAAAATAGAATCAAGTCTATTTCCTATCAAAACATTCCATTTATTAATGGAAATAATGTTAAAAATATCAGTGAATTGAAATCTAAGACAAATGAATTAGATTTCAAAGAAATCTCTAAGTCAATCAAGAAATCCGTTGCAACTTATGCAATGCTCAATGTTTTATCTGATATCCCTCATCACACAGTTCTCGATTACTGCGAACAATCATTTAATTATTTAGAATAAACAATATTTTTTTTATTTTATATTATGAACTAATTTTCTAAAGTAAAATATGATTGTTGCAGAATTGTCAAGAGTATCAATAGATTTTTATTCCTGTTTTATCCTATTTTAAAGTAATATGAACCATTTTATCCTTTATATTTTAACATTTTATATGAAAATTCCTATTTTACATTGGAGTTCATTATAAATTCCATTGATATATTCAAAAGATTCGAATTTTTCGCGCTGACTTTTCAAAAATTGAGTGAAAAAGTCACGCGAAAAGTTGTAATTTTCGTTAGATCTGTTTTTAGGCTGTTTTTCCATTATAAATTTTCCTATAAACAGTGGAATTTATAATGGACCCTATTCTTAAAAAAATTATAAAAGGATACCCTCAATTCTGGACTTTAAAGGGATGGATCTTATGATTCATGCAATTTTTAATGATTGATCTTTAATTACCCTTTATTGTATGGTAATTACAACATCTTTTTTTTTTCAGCGGTTTTCAAAATATTGTATTTACATAAAGTTGTAAATCTATGGAATACGCATTATGCTTATTATGAATAATCATTTATTTCCGATTTTTAAAATTTGAGACAGTTCTATGAGTTGTTCTCAAAACATTCCATTTTTTTTTGATATGGGAGAGAGCAATCATTATCAAAAACTAATGGAGATGAATAAGGGTTATATCGATACATTCGATGCATTATACAAGCTAAACACAAACGAAGAAGATCAACTCAACAAAATTTTCGAAAAAATCAAAATCAACCTGATTGAATCCAAAATATGTACATCTTCTTATATTTGTAAAAAAATCATAACTGCATCTATATTGAATATCCGTTACTATAGATCATATATGTCAATTTTAAAAAATGTTTGTAATGAATAACAAGTCAGGGAAGATGAAGGTAATTCATTTGAGTTTTACCATTTAAAGCAATTCGGCAAATTATTTTTTAACGATGAGAAAAACATCTACAAAGCAATTCTATATGATGATATAAAATTATTTATCTCATATGCAGTAATGGATGGATTTAATGTAAAACAATGTCTATATACTTATCTTCCCAATTTAGATAAACTATCATTACTTGAATTATGTTCTTATCTTGGATCTGTTAATTGTTTCAAGTTTTTAAGGACAAAATTTAACTTAGATATCACTCATCATTGTTTAGGTTTATCATTTTTAGGTGGTAATCCTGACATAATAAGTGAATGTTTTAAAAATTTAAAACCGGATTATAGATGCATGCCGTATTCAATTATGTCTCATAACATCGATTTTGTTACTTATTTAATTGATTTCCATTATTGCAGGATTCGGGTGAGAGATTGTGAATACTTCAATAATCTACTAGCTTTTTTTGTTCATTTGGATAGAACTAATGACTTCAAAGAATGTTTAATATATTCGCCAATATTCAATATCCCATCTCTTTGTGAATACTTTCTGTCAAATCGTGAACATATAAATGATGAAGAATTTCATTTCCTTCCATATAGAAAAATTAACTATGATATAATGACAAAACTTCTATTTTATTTTTTAGAATGTCATCATTTTTCAAATGCTGCTTCTGATGAAAAAATTACTGAATTTCTAATCGCAAATGGTGCATATGTCAAAGCTCACTACTCAGATGGGAAAACTCCTCTTCATCTTGCAGCAAACAAATCTGTAATTATAGCTGAAGTTCTTATTTCACATGGAGCTAATATAAATGCAAAAGATATATTCGGATATACACCTCTCCATATTGCTGTCCAATCTAAATATTTTAGCTCTATGGTAAAATTTCTTACTGAGCAAGGAGCCGATGTAAATGCAATAGATAACGATATGAAAACACCGCTTCACTATGTAGTAGAAGAATACGATCCGAGCATAGATTATGTGAAAATTCTTATTTCCAGTGGTGCAAATGTGAATGCCATGGATATAAATGGAAATACTCCCCTTCAATATGCAATCAAAAAAATCATAAAGAAATTGTAAAGCTTCTTACTCCTAATGATGCAAAGAATTATTATTGCAATATTATATAAGGTTTTAGTAATATCAATTTTATTTTCCAAATTTAATAAATAAATAAATAAATTTGATATTTCAAACTTTACAAATCTAATGGTTTGTAAAGGTAAAATCTGATATTTTGATAAGAAACAACAAGGTAATATTTGTAAAAATAAAGCATTGTTTACATTAAAATTAAAAAACTGGAGAAGCTTATATTTTGGGATATGGAGATCCCAGCCGTTATTTCTACAAGCGAGATCTTTCCTTTTTTTCCAATTAATTGGAATTTCTTATAAATGTACCGTTTTTATAATGGACATCATTCTTAAAAAAATTCTAAAAGGATATGATGAAAATATGTGAACTTATTTAAAAAGTGATGGATCTTATGATTCATGCAATTTTTAATAATTCATCTTTAATTATCCTTTATTGTATGGTAATTACAACATCTTTTTTTTTTGGTGATGAAAGAGGGCAATCATTATCAAAAACTAATGGAGATGAATAAGGGTTATATCGATACATTCGATGCATTATACAAGCTAAACACAAACGAAGAAGATCAACTCAACAAAATTTTCGAAAAAATCAAAATCAACCTGATTGAATCCAAAATATGTACACCTTCTTATATTTGTAAAAAAATCATAACTGCATCTATGTTAAATATTCGCTATTACAGTTCATATATGTCAATTTTAAAAAATGTTTGTGATGAATATCAAGTAAAGGAATATGGAGGTTATGAGTTTATTTGTTTAAAGGTATTCGGTAATTTATTTTTTAACGATGAAAAAAGCATCTACAAAGCAATTCTATATGATGATATAAAATTATTTATCTCATATGCAGTAATGGATGGATTTGACGTAAATCAATGTCTATTTACTGGTCCTCCGTATTTAACTACATTTTCATTACTTGAATATTGCTCTTATCTTGGATCTGTTAATTGTTTCAAGTTTTTAAGAACAGAATTTAACTCAAAAATCACTCATCATTGTTTAGGTTTATCATTTATAGGTGGTAATCCTGACATAATAAGTGAATGTTTAAAAAAACAAAAACCGGATTATAGATGCATGAAGTATGCAATCATGTCTCATAACATCGATTTTGTAACTTATTTGATTAATGTCCATTATGTCAAGATTGACGTAAGAGATTGTGTAAACTTCAATAATCTACATGTTTTTTAGCTTATTTTAATAATGTTTATGACACCAAAAAATGTGTTATATATTCGCCAGCATTTAATATTCCATTCATTAGTAACTATTTTCTTTCAAATTTTCGATATTATTATTTTTCTTATTATGATTATCACAAAACAATGACAGAATATTTATTTTATTTTTTGGAACAATCATTTGACCTTGGGTCAATCGATGATGATAATAATAAGAAAATTGTTGAATTTCTTATTGCAAATGGTGCATATGTCAATGATCAGGACTCGGAAGGAAAGACTCCTCTTCAAATTGCATTACAAAAACATTCCATAGAAATAGCTGCAGTTCTTATTTCACATGGAGCATATATTAATGCAAAAGATAGATTTGAGCATACACCTCTTCATTTTGCAGCTGAATGCCATTCTAAAAAAATAGCTGCGGTTCTTATTTCACGTGGGGCAGATGTAAATGCAAAAGATAGATATGGATATACACCTCTTCATGTTGCTGTTGAATCTACTATTGTAAGTTCTTTTGAATTAGTAGAATTTCTTATTTTACATGGGGCAGATGTGAATGCACAAGATCATTATGGGGAAACGCCTCTACATAAAGCTTTGAGAAAATCAGCTTGTTCTGAAATTGTGCAATATCTTGTCTTTTATGGAGCTAATGTAAATGCAATAGATAAATGTGAAAGAATTCTATTCACTATGCAAAAGAAAAATTTGGTAGATCCGTAGAAAATGTAAAAATTCTTATTTCCCATGGAGCAGATGTGAATGATATGGATTTTGATTGGAATACTCCCCTCCATTATGCAATCGTTAAAAATCATAAAGAAATTGTAAATCTTCTTATTTCTTATGGGGCAAAGAATCAATATTGCAATATTTTATAAAGTTTTAATAATTTCAATACAATGTTCGATTTACCTGGCTATGTGAAATATATTATTATTGTAATAAAAGCCTTGTTTGTTCATCAAATTATGATATTTCATCCCTTTGTGAATGACTCTCAAATAATCTTTTGGAGAATCTATATTCATCCTTAATCCCCAAGTTGCTTTGCATTAACTCAATAGCATACATTATTGTAACATTTGATTCATTGCATTGTTAAATTTTTTGTACATAAGTTCACTTGTGCTATAGTAAATTTTGATTGAATCAACCAAATGTTATCCAATTTTAAAGAAATATGAACATTATATAAAAACTTTTATGCCTAAAAAATTAATAATACTAAAAAAGATAACATGTAAGTGTGAGTTCTTATTAAAAATGATATATCTATATTATGTATCATGCAATTTTTTGATTAGTCTTCGATTTCCTTTATCGTATGGTAATTACAACATCTTTCTGAGCATTTTTCAAAATATTGTAATTACATAAATTTTTTTGTGATGGAAGAGAGCAATCATTATCAAAAACTAATGGAGATGAATAAGGGTTATATCGATGCATTCGATGCATTATACAAGCTAAACACAAACGAAGAAGATGAGCTCAACAAAATTTTCGAAAAAATCAAAATCAACCTGATTGAATCCAAAATATGTACACCTTCTTATATTTGCCATAAAATCAAATTTCTATCTATGTGGAATATCCGTTACTATAGATCATATTTAACAATTTATAGAAATATTGGTGATAAATATCAACTAATGCCAATTAGAGGCCATGAGTTTGAGTATTTAAAAAAAATTCATTAATCCCTTTTTTAATGATGAGAAAAACATCTACAAAGCAATTCTATATGATGATATAGAGTCATTTATCTCATATGCAGTAATGGATGAATTTGATGTAAATCAATGTTTGTCAACTTATCTTTTCAATTTAGATAAATTATCATTACTTGAATTATGTTCTTATCTTGGATCCGTTAATTGTTTCAAGTTTTTAAGGACAAAATTTAATTCAGATATCACTCATCATTGTTTAGGTTTATCATTTATAGGTGGCAATCCAGACATAATAAGTGAATGTTTAAAAAAGCAAAAGCCGAATTATAGATGCATGAAATATGCAATTATGTCTCATAATATCGATTTTGTTACTTATTTAATTGATGTCCATAATATCAAGATTGACGTAAGAGATTGTGAATACTTCAATAATCTACAAGTTTTTTTCGTTTATTTGGATAGAACTAATGACTTCACAAAATGCATAATATATTCGCCAGCATTTAATATACCATCTGTTTGTGAATACTTTCTTTCAAACAGTGAACATATAAATGATGAAGAATTTCATTTCCTTTCTTACAGGAAAATTAACTATGATATAATGACAAAACTTCTATTATATTTTTTTAAATGTGATCTTTTTTCAGATTGAGTTAATAATTAAAAAATTGCTGAATTTTTAATTACAAATGGTGCAAATATCAATGCTAAGAACTCAGAAGGGAAGACCCCTCTTCATATTGCAATACAAAACTACTCTGAAGAAATTGCTGCGATTCTTATTTCACATGGAGCTGATATAAATGTAAAAGATATGTTTGGATGTACACCTCTTCATATTGCTGTCAAAAATGAGTTTTTTACGCATATAGTAAAATTACTTATTTTGCAAGGAGCCGATGTAAACGCAAAAGATAATGATGGGAAAACGCCTCTTCATATAGTTTTGGAATATGGAACTATTTCAGAAATGAATCAAAATGGGCGGATGTAAATGCAAAAGATTCATATTGGAAATATCCTCTTCATAGATACAAAGATATTATAAAAAATCTTATTTCAGGCGGAGCAAATGTGAATGCCATGGATAAAAATGGAAATACTCCCCTCCAATATGCAATCGAAAAAAATTATAAACGTATTGTAAATCTTTTCGTTTCTTCTGATGCAAAGAATCATTATTAAAATATTATATAATTTTATTTTTTTTTGTCAACGTTCCCATAACAAAAAAGTATAGCAATCATGCTAAGCACTAGATAGTGATTTATATTTACTTTCTCCTGACCAAAAATATTATCTTTTTATCTTAGAAAATTGGGATAAAAAGCTTGGATATCAGAAAAAAATTGAGAGAATGTCAGAAAGTGGTAACTGCATTCTTAAGGCTACACTTATGCCCATCTGACTTTAATTCAAATTTCTGACAACCGGCGTGAAGCGTCATTTAAAATTAACCTTAAACATCCGAATTGAAAGCCGTGTCATAGGGGCGTAAGTTTACCATTAAAAAAAATAAAAATAATTATTTAATTTTATTTTTTTTTATTTTATATAATTACATTACCTCTTACAGATCTTCCAGCAGTCAATACAGAGTTTCTTTCTGTTATAATCATCTGGTCAATTGTTGAAGAAACAGCGTCAATCTTCATCACCATTTCCTTTTCTTCCCACTTCCATCCGCCAATGATTCCGTTCACTCCTGATGCCAAAACCATTGATCCATCCAGAGTGAACTTGATGTCAGTGATCATGGAGTCCAAATCGTTCTTCGATTCCCAAAGTTTTGTCCCGTTTTTAGTGTCCCAAAGTGACAAACAGCCATTTATCATTCCCACGGCGATTTTCGTGTTCGTTGGGTCCAGGGCGAGTGCGGTCGGAATGTACGGGACTGTGAAACTGCCGATGAATGGCTGGGATGAGTATAAGTCCCAGAATTTGACAGTCATATCTTCCGAAATCGAAATTAAGCGTTTGGAATCACGAGTAAAGAGGATTTTCATTGGCGATTGTGCGTGGCCGATTAAAAGCCTAAGAAGGGAACCATCTTTGGTATGATAGACCTTAATTGTTTTATCTCCGCATCCACAAGCGAGAAAAGTGCCTGAATAATCAAATGCGAGAGAGAAAATGGGATAAACACCTGTATTAATACGCATGTATGGTATAAATGCTTCGAGATGGGATATTTTTATGATTCCATCGATACTTGAGCTCGCGAAGAGCCTGGAATCCTGTGAAAACGCTGTAGCAAGAATCTGTGTGTTATGAGAAACAAGTCTCATTGTATTATGTTCGCCCAAATTGGAGAGTTGGTCGATTGTATTTAAATATACGTTTGGTCCTTGGGCGAAAGAGAATAATCTGCCGTTAGGAGCAATCTGTATATCGGAAATTCTGTTGTGATGGTTGTATATTTCTATATTCGCAATATCTGGAAAACTTTGATGAACACAAGGAATATCTTCTTCGCTGGTCAACTGTGGACGCTGCATGGATAACTCTCCACTGTAGCGTGCTGAATATGGCGGAAGAGTGACTTTTACAGGATTTGTAAGTTCTGAGGAATTTGGTCGGCGAGAAATGCTCGAATCATTAGAATATAAGTACTCATGGTTAATGTCTTCCTCTTCTGTGACTTTAACTGCTGAATTTATAATGTAAGACAAAATTGCAGTGTTTGGATTATCTGCAACAGCGTCAATTTTCGCGAGAAGCTGGTGGTAGGCTTCACTGCACATTTTGAGTGGTATTACCTCTTTAGGAATGCGACGATTGTTGATTAATTCTTGAATTTTCTCTTGGCATTGAGGTGGTTGCTCGTATCTGTATTTTTCGATAAAGTCGAGAGGTGCTTGATAATCCTGTGATAAAAAGAGCTGCTGAGCTAAGTTAATAAAGAGTGGAAATAAAAGTTGCTTGTATTCTCTTTGATAAGCTGGTGGTGAGTTCAGGACAATGTTTTGTGTAAAATAATTATAGGCATAATCGATTTTATGAGGTGTTCTTGATGAATCAAACAATCTCAATGAACCAACAGCGTTATGAGCTTCAGGATTGGTTCTATTTTGATTGAGAGCGCTGAAAGCAGCTGGATTTCTGTTTAAATATTCAAGAACAAACTGAGGAAGAGGATATGTTTCCTCAGTCATTGTTTAAAAAGTGACAATCATATAGAATTATCAGGAACAATCATTTATTCTGGCCATCTAATGATTGCAAAAACAATGTGTTGCTTAGAAGAGATTTTGGTTTGATTTTTGTGGATAAATAAAGAATAATTTGTAATAATTAATGAATATGGAGCTTTTGCATATCGTAAGATGAATTTCCAACTGTCAGATGATATGAGCATTCAGCAGTGGAATCATAATTTTTGATCAAATCATATTTCTTAAAATTTTATTATATTTATCATCTTATTATGGGAGACAGTATTGTATTAGCTCTTGTTGTATCCAATACTTATGCTAAGGAAATGATGCCTATCATAGTGAAGGATTTTATATAATGTCATGCAGGAATATCATATTTAACATTATGAAATAATCAGACTAGTTGAGAATGACTATTTTACATGATCCGTTCAAGCCAATAAAAAAATAAATGGAATCATAATTACAACCATAGAAAATTGATTTGAGAGGGCAGGTGTCTCAAATTTTTTGTAAACCTTTCAAAATAGCGGCTTTTTTTGACGGAATTATTAGTGGAGAAAAAAAAATACAAAAATAATCAATGCATAAATTGAGATAGAATGAATACAGGCAAATAAGCAATCGTAATTTATATAAAATTAACATTTTATTCGATAAATTAAGGACAAATTTCAAAATATTTTATTTTAATTTATCATAGTCAAGGTTGATATTGAAACCATATGTAGCATTCTCTGTGTTAGTCACAAGAGTCTTCATCCAGCCTGTAAATGTCAATGGTTTCGAGAAATGAAGTTCAATCTTTGCACAAAGAGTTGTAATGTTCTGTATGTAAAGGGAAAGACTATTCTGGACTCCTTTGATCTTTCCGCCAACTCTGAAGTCAAATCCTTGAGGAGTATTTTTCAATTGGAAAGCAACTGGATATTTATTGATCTCTGATGTTCCAATGACTCCGTAGCTCTTCTGATTGAAGTTTGTGAAAACTGCAGCAGAAAATTGAGGAAGATTGAGATGGGCTGATATTTCTGTGTTGTTTAAGTTTCCTTTTCTGGAATAGTAAGCCATTAAGCTTGAAATCTTATAAGTGAAGACGTTTTCTGTGTAAATTTCAAATTTTGGAGCTTCTTCGAATAAATCCTTCAAAACAACTTTTGTATCGGTTTTAATTGTTGGTACGTATGGCTGTTTGAACTTGTATTCGTATTTTAAGTGTGCTTTGTTCTTAAATCCAACACGAAGCTTAACAGGACCAACAATATAATTTAATTTTGGTTTGATGCGGACATTAAAGTTATCTTGTTGAAGCCTAGCAAATTCAAATTTACCTACAGAACTCTTATAGCAGCCGCCAAATGTTGTTTGGACATCTGTCGGCGTAAATTTAAGAAATTCACCATATGTATATAAATGATCGTATTTTGCTGTAAGTGTGAACTTAGCAGGTGTCTCAAAGTTGATCGAATCTGATTCACGAACAAGTTTCGTGTACATTTTTTTGAAATTCCAAAAATATTGTCACTTTTTAGATATTTTAGGGGATTGCACCTAATTAAATCCTAAATTCTCCCTCATCAAAAATGGATCCAGAGCGATTTTCATATCTTAAAGAAGTTTATGAGCAAATTCAAAGACCATTGCCTGGACCTATCACCGATGAAAACAGAAAATTATATGATACGTTTCTTGAAGCATTTCCTGGAGCATTTAATATTTGGATTAAATATATTAGTGAAGAAGTTCAAATTTCAACAGATAATTTTGATAGAGTCGAAAAGCTATTTTACAGATGTTTACCAAATGTCCCGAGTGTTGATCTTTTTACCTTTTATTTACAATATATTAGGAGCAAACCAAATCTTTCACTAGAAGACATAATGGCTGCGTACGATTATGCATTAGACAAGGTCGGATTGGATATTAAAGCGTGCCCAATTTATTCAGAATATATCGCATTTTTGAATTCTCACAGAAGTCAAATCGAAGGAGATCTCGATAAGTGCCGTAAAGTTTATCATCGTGCATTTGTTGTACCTATGGACGGATTACCTATTTTAAATAAAGAATATCATGATTTTGAAAATGAACGTGCTCAACAAGTAGCTCCAAGCCTTTTTAAAGAGTGGGATGGACATTTTAAGACAACAAAACAAGCATACGCAGAAAAGAATATCATTACTCAGCGTCTAAAAACAACAGATTTCTTCGAAACCGGACCAGGACTTCTTTCTGTCCTTTTCTACTGGAGATTCTTTATTCTCAAAGAGTCCCAAAACGAAGTACACGTAAAACCAGATCAATTACACGCATTTGTTGAATATGCGTATAGAAAAGCTCTCGGGCCACTCAGATACCAATGGATTATATGGCACGAGTTCGCGCAACACTATCTAAGCTACTCTAACGATGCTGCAGCCATCAGAACATATGCAGAAGCCGTAAGTATTTTACCTCATAACTTAATGTTATCATTTGCATATGCAGAGCTTCTAGAAAGCCGCAAGAGAGTATCAGAAGCACTTCCAGTCTACAGAAACATCATTAAAAATTCACTTAACATATCAGATGCAACATTATCTCAAATTCAGCTTCTCAAGTTCCTCCAAAGAACAGAAGGACCAGATGCAATGCGCAGAGAGTTCGTCATGGCCTTTGAAAAGGGTAATTTCACATATCATCTCCTCATCGCAGTCGCTGAGATCGAAAACGCTGTAAATCTTGACAGAGAATCTGCTAAAAACATTTTACACGCTGGCTTACAAATTTACAAGACAGATTCAGCTTATATCGAAGAATATGTTTCCCTTGCAATCAAATTAAACGACATAGAAGGACTTATTGATGCATACGACAACGTTTGCCAGCTTCACAAGGACAAGAGAATGGAATTGTCCTGGAGATTGCTGGATTTCTTTAGGTTGGCCAACGATAAATCCGGCGGTTTGTCCTCGAGTCTCAGCCGTGTTGTTAAAAATCTAAGTACATTGCTGTCAGATTACAAAGGACAGAGGTCCTTACAGACAAACGAAGCCCCAAGAAAGACCCTTGACCTTATCAAGGAGTATATTCCAACTTTGGCCTCATATGAAAAGAATATTAATTTGGTCTTCGAGTTTGCACTTAGTACTCATGGTGATGACTTCGAAAATGCCGTGAAATCCGAGTTGGGCGATGATATTTTCTCTGGAGACTTGGTTAGGAGAACAATTGAATCATTAGTTAACTCCCACTCTGCAAAAGACTTGTATCAGGCAATAAGTTTGTTTGGAATTATTGATAAAGCTATTGTGATCATCAGAAATATCATGGAAAAGATTGATGAAATTATTCATAGAATTGAAAATGATATTTTAGCTCAGGATAAGACAATATCAAGAGAAAAGCTGAAATTACGCGCTTTCTTCTTGCCAGATGGCTATAATTGATATTTTTTTATATTTATAAAGTGATATTTTTAAAAAATAATTTAAATTATTAATAATTTTTATTTAGTGCTTTACTGTTAACGTCTACGATGGTGTATGATTCTATAGATATAAAAAACGATAAACAAATTTCATACTAAGTTTATTGATGAGTATCTTTTTGTCATTAACTTAATTATTGTCATTGTGTCCTTTTATAGATCTATAAGCATTATCAGAATTCCTAAATTTAAATCCGAAATCTTTTTGATCCTTGTGTTTCTCATGTATAATATAGTCTTTTTCTCCTAACAATCTATGAAGATCTTTTCTATGCATATTATAATATTTCTATTTTACAATTTTCTGATGTCTGAACAAGACACTCATCCAAACGAATTCAATGAACTGCGAAGTAAGTATAAATACTACATCGATACATTTAATACGTTGTATCAGCTGAAAACGGAAAACATAGAAGAATTATACTCGATTTACAAAATGATCAAAACAGAGTTGATTGATTCAAAGAAATATCCTCCGCAAAGGATGATCAAAAATATTTTAGACATCATTCCGTATAATAACCGCTATATAACGTCATATTTGATTCTTGCCGAATTCATAACTGATGATTATCAAGTAACAGAGGATTCTAAAATTTCAATTGAAGATGGCATCCTAACTTACAAAGAATATTCCATTGATTTAGACTACGCTAATGATTTCGAAAAAATTGAATCAAAAGATCTCATTTTTGATACAGAAAATGCAATCTACCCAGCAATTATGTATAATGACAAAGAAAGTTTTATCTGCTTAACTGAAATGGTTGGTTTTGATCAAAAACAAAAGCTTACAAGCAATTTATATCCAGATTTTTGTAGTAGTTTTTCATTACTTGAATTATGCTGTTATTATGGAGCAGTTGATTGTTTCAAGTTCTTAAGAACAAAATTTAACTCAAAAATAACTAAAACTTGTCTTCAATATTCATTTTTAGGAGGAAATCCAGATATCATGAGTGAATGTTTGAAATATAAAAAACCAGATTGGAAATGCATGAAATATGCAACTATTTCACACAACATTGATTTTGTTACATTCTTAATGAATGAGTACAATTTGGAGATCAATAGATATACTTGTGCACGGAATAATAATCTTGAATCATTTTTAGTTTATTTCGATCAAACTAATGATGTTAATGGATGCCTTATTTATTCGACGAGGTTCAATATTCCATCTCTTTGCGAATATTTCCTTTCACATGGTGCAAACATCAATGCAAAAGATATTAATGGGCAAACCGCTCTTCATAAAGCAGCAAAAAAAATAGTAAAGTAATAATCGATCTTCTTGTTTCACATGGTGCAAATATTGATGAAAAAGATAAAGATAGAGAAACCGCTCTTCATAAAGCAGCAAAAAAATAGTAGAGAAGCAGCAGAATTTCTTGTTTCACATGGTGCAAATATCAATGCAAAAGATAATAATGGGCAAACCGCTCTTCATAAAGCAGCAAAAATAAATAGTAAAGAAATAATCGATCTTCTTGTTTCACATGGTGCAAATATTGATGAAAAAGATAAAGATAGAGAAACCGCTCTTCATAAAGCAGCAATAAAAAATAGTAAAGAAGCAGCAGAATTCCTTATTTTACATGGTGCAAATATTGATGAAAAAGAAAAACATGGAGAAACCGCTCTTCATAATACAGCATATTATAATAGTAAAGAAGTAGCAGAACTTCTTGTTTCACATGGTGCAAATGTTGATGAAAAAAATTTTAAAGGAGGAACCGCTCTCCATATTACTGCATGGACTTATAGTAAAGAAGTAGCAGAAATCCTTATTTTACATGGTGCAAATATTGATGAAAAAGATGATGAAGGAGAAACCGCTCTTTATAAAGCAGCAGGAAAAAATAGTAAAGAAATGGTCGATTTTTTTGTTTCACATGGTGCAAATATTGACGAAAAAGATAATAATGGAAGAACTGCTCTTGATATTGCAAATGCTCATTATTTAGAAGAAATGGCCAAGATTCTTCGTTCATATGGTGCTCAAATGTAATATTTCTTTATATAATGGTTCTCTTATTTTATTACTTGTAAAAAAGTATAAACTTCTGAATACACGATAATATTTTATTTGGATACTGCATATAGTCACAAATATTAAGATGTTAATGGACTTTTTGCAAAGTTCCATGTTAAATATGAATATATATTCCTCCAAAGTTCTTTCAATAACAATGAAAGGGAGGACAAGATTATCATGCAACAGTGTGTTATATCAGTTTAATTTTTAGTAAAAACATAAAAAATACTATCATATTAAATGTGATTTCGGCATCGACGCTCTGCTCATTTTGGCATTCTGGGCGTTTACATTCCCAGAATCCAAGCTTAACTGATTTGAAATTTCGTTTTGCTGTTATGCAAAAAGAAAGCTTGTATTGAGACGTGAAAAAACAAATTGAGAAAGTATAGATGGTTATGTTCTGTTTCAATGACCCATTGAAGGCTTTTTTAAAATACATAGGCAGATTCGACGCATATAAATATCCTAGATATTTTTTTATTTTAAGATTAAAGAGTGACTGTACCTTTATAAAAATACTATGTGTGATATCTTATCATGCATATATCTATAAATATTGTTCGCATATATTTTAGCAAAGTCAAATTCTAATTTAGATTTTGCCAAATTATATGCAATATTTATCTTCTTAATTTAAGATGTAACGGATAGTTAGCATCAATGCATATCTGATTCATTTTAGTATGGTTAGGTTCGAAATCAGTTAAATCAAAATTGTATTTATGGAATCTAAGTCATTATAAATCTTGCAATCTTAATAACAAAATACATTCATGAAAATGATTTTAATATTCATGCGGTAAAGCTGAATATCTATAGAACTTATACATAATAAAAGAAGATAGTGTAAACTTCAGAAATTCACTTTTTTATATTTTTTTTTTAATCTTCATGAAAAAAGTAAATTATGAAGAGTTAATGGAATTGTATCATGACTTTATTTATGTATATGATACATTGTATAAGCTGAAGACTTTCGGCGAAGAAGAAATTAACAAAATTTATCTTGATATCAAAAATTTGCTAATTGATACCAAACGCACAATGCCAGCTCGAATTCTAACAATGATTTCTACTGCAATGACTTTTAATGTCAAATATATAAAATCATATAAGGAGATTTTCAAAAAGATTTATACAGAATATCATCCAGTCTTTTCTCGAGGAGAAATTCAAAGTATCCCATATGTTTTGTGGGCAGATTTACAAGATGAGAATGGTATTTTATTATCAGTGAGATATAGTTTTGAATTCGAAGCAAACAAAACTAAAGATTATTCAATGCAATTTATTGAAGAAAATACGATTTACAGAGCTATTATGTATGATGACAAATTTTCTTTCATTAAATTCACGGAAACAGGTAGTTTTAACAAGAAGCAAGTGCTTAATAGTGATTTATATCCATCCTCACCTAATTCATTGATTGAGCTATGTTGTTATCATGGAGCTGTTAATTGTTTTAAATTGCTAATTTCAAAATATAACTCAACAACTACACGGAAATGCCTCAATTATTCCTTTTTGGGTGGAAATCCTGACATTATTAATGAATGTTTGAAATATGAGGAGCCAGATAAAGAATGCATGAAATACGCAACCATTTCACATAACATTGATTTTGTTACCTTTTTGATGAATGAATTCGAGTTAGAAATTGATTTATATAATTGCGCGATATATCACAATTTTCAGGCATTTTTAGTTTATTTGGATCAATCAAAATATATTAATAAATCCTTTATTTATTCAGTTTGTTTTTGTATTCCTTCTCTATGTGAATATTATCTTTCGCATGGTGCTTTTGTTAATGCAAAAACTGAATTCGGAAAAACTGCACTTCATGTTGCAGCAAAATTTAATTGCAGGGAAATAGCAGAAATTTTGATTTCACATTGTGCCGATGTTAAGATAAAAGATAATAATGGATTTACAGTTCTTCATGATGCAGCAAGATTAAATTATGGTAAAGAAACTGCAGAATATCTTATTATGAATGGTGCTGATATTAATGCAAAAAGTAACAATGGATGGACTCCTCTTCATGTTGCGTCAAAATTGAATAACTATGAAGTAGCAGAACTTCTTATTTTACATGGCGCTAATGTTAATGTTAATGCTGAAAAGAGATATTCAATTCTTCATGCACCAGTAGATTTTAATAGCAAAGAAATATCCCAACTCCTCATCTCTTATGGTGCTGATGTTAATGCCAAAGACATAGATGAATGGTCGGTCCTTCATGCTACAGCATATAAAGATAGTAAAGAAATAGCTGAATTCCTTATCTCTCATAGTGCCGATATTAATGCTAAAGACAAAGATGGATTGTCGGTTCTTCATGCTGCAGTAAGTAATAACAGTAAAGAAACAACTGAATTCCTTATTTTACATGGCGCTGATGTTAATGCCAGAAGCAATAATGGATTGTCGGTTCTTCGTGCTGCAGCAACCAATAAAAACAGTAAAGAAATAATTAAATTTCTTATCTCTCGTGGTGCCGATATTAATATTAACGACAAAGATGGATTGTCGGTTCTTCATGCTTTAGCAAAAAATAACAGTAAAGAAATAGCTGAATTTCTTGTTTCTCAAGGTGCAGATATTAATGCTAAAAACAATAGTGGATGGTCAATTCTTCATGCTGCAGCAGATAATAACAGCAAAGAAATAGCAGAATTCCTTGTCTCTCATGGTGCTGATGTTAATGCAAAAGACAATAATGAGATGTCGGTTCTTTATGCTGCAGTATGTAATAATAGTAAAGAAATAGCTGAATTCCTTATTTCATATGGTGCTGATGTTAATGCAAAAGACAGTAATGGATGGTCAGTTCTTCATGCTGCAGCAAAAAATAATAACAGTATAGAAATAGTAGAATTCCTTGTCTCTCAAGGTGCTGATGTTAACGCAAAAGACATTAATGGATGTTCAGCTCTTCATGCTGCAGCAGATAATAACAATAAAGAAATAGCTGAATTCCTTATTTCACATGGTGCTAATGTTAATGCTAAAAGCAATAATGGATTCACAGCTCTTCACATTGCAGTATGTAATAGTAATAGCAAAGAAATAATTGGATTTCTTATCTCTCATGGTGCTGATGTTAATGCTAAACGTAATGATGGATCATCGGTTCTTCACATTGCAGTATGTAATAGTAATAGTAAAGAAATAGTTAAATTCCTTGTCTCTCATGGTGCTGATGTTAATGCAAAAGACGATGATGGATCGTCAGTACTTCACATTGCAGCATGTAACACTAATAGTAAAGAAATAGTTGGATTTCTTGTCTCTCATGGTGCTGATGTTAATGCAAAAGACAATTTTGGATGGTCAGTTCTTCATACGGCAACAAAAAATAGCAATAAAGAAATAGTTGAATTCCTTATTTTGCATGGTGCAGATGTAAATGCTAAAGATGATAATAGATTGTCAATACTTCATATTGCATCATTAAAAAATAGCAATCAAGAAATAGTTGAGTTCCTTATTTCACATGGTGCTGATGTTAATGTTAGATGCAGTAATGGATCGTCAGTACTTCACATTGCAGCATGTAACACTAATAGTAAAGAAATAGTTGGATTTCTTGTCTCTCATGGTGCTGATGTTAATGCAAAAGACAATTTTGGATGGTCATCTCTTCATGCTGCAGCAAAATTTAACAATAAAGAAATAGTTGAATGCCTTATTTCGCATGGTGCTTATGTTAATGCAAAAGACAATGATGGATATTCAGTTCTTCATACTGCATTAAAAAATAACAATAAAGAAATAGCTGAATTCCTTATTTCACATGGTGCTGAATGTTAATAACAAAATATTTAACTGTTTGAATTTTCTATATAATAATAGTATTGTGTATAGTAGCAAAAAAAATATATCAACCATATGGCCCTGTATGAGGTCTCAAAGTTGATGAAAATTGGTATAAAATGTGCGGGCGGTCTGAACCCTTCTCATATTTTATTCATATCAAATAAATTATAGAAACAATGTGAGATTAATGCTTATCCAGATTCCCGGGCTTATATAATATTCACTAATACAAGATAAACACTGAAAATATCGTTATTATTTTCATTATGCCATAATTCTATGCTCATTAACATATTCAATGGATTTTATATTTATGCAATATGATATAATTGAATATTCTCTAAATCATTAAGAATTTTTATTGATAATTTGAATTCCAAATTACTTTAAATACACTATTCACCCGAAGTTTTGAATATCAGAGTAATAACATTTCTTTCGGTTAAAAATATTATGAAAAATAATGTAAAAAATGAAATAACTGATATTATTTTTATACAAACAATTATTTTTGAAGATTTTCTAGACTTGATGCCAGTTGTGGCTTACTACTAATATATTTCTCTATCTTGTCGACTCTTTCAGCCAAAGGAGGAATTGAATCATAAAAATTCCTGAACAAAAGGCTTGGAGACACGGCTTCATGGTTGATCCTATATATCTTTATCAAGGCATTCTTAATATTATACCCTTTCTTCGCTACAGATATGTCAGTATCTATTACCGCTTTTCTTTCAACGATAAATATAAATGTCTGTGCGAAAACATGGCAGGTGTAGAAGAAACAAAACGAAATAAAGCATACAATTGCAATTGGCCGACCTCTTTGGACGCCATAAGGTGCAACTCCGGTTCTCATGATTTGTCTGAAGATCATGCCATAGAAAATAACTGGGAACAGGTTGTATGATATACGGAGTATGTTGAAACCTGCTTTTGTCTTCATTTGTGTATTCAATATTTTTCCGATTGCTTTTAACTCATCTAATTGGAAAAGCTCTATCATTTGCTCAGAAATAAATGGTTTGGCAGACCAGTAACCATGAATTCCGTAGCTCATATGCGTATTTCGTGTTGGAACCAATAATTGTAAATCTTTTCCATTGTTGTGTTTGAAACCGCTCATAATGGCATTGTATTTGTTCGTATTGTTATCTTTTGGTAATGGTTTCATTGTAATGAAGAGTTGGTCTGTATATGGATAAATAAATGAGCAAAGAAGGACAATAAAGAACAAATGAATGGTTGTAAATGCCCAAAAATTGGAAGCATGCTCGAAAAATGCATTTCCATCCTCGCCTTCTTCGGAATCGTCGTCGCCCATTCCAATTAAGTCAACTGGAGATAATTCATCTGTATTGTCATCGATTTGACCGATATCTTTGGCTTTATATTCTACAATATGCAATTTCGTACGCCTTTTCAAAGGAGCTGGTAAATCTACTTTATTTGCGCGGAAACAAACAGGAACAATGAACAAAACGTATACAGAAAAGTGCATTACTAGCTTAAGAGTGAAATCGCGTAGGAATAATGGTATTGTTGTCTTGTTAAATCCGAATTTTCTTTCGACAAAAAACGTTTTATGAATAGATGGAATGAAATTGACAACATTTTCTGCATATAAGAAGATTAATAATGAAAATTTTGTGTTAGAATGGAAGTGTCTCCAAAAATATTTTAATTTATAAATGCAAATAAACATTGAACCGTATAAAAGGATGATTTTGATCAAGTAAGCAACTAACGTCGAGTTTTTGTAATCAATGGAATCTGTTTCTGCTGAATATGCTTTATATTGATGTGATAATACTTTCAAATGCCTAAATTCTGTCAAAAGAACAAATAATTCTGCAGTAAATCCAAAGAATATTGTTGTTAAGCATAAATACTGTGATTTGATGATCGGTTTAGGGGAGGAATGTGGGTCATTAAAGATGAAAAAGTTATCATGCTTTTCCATCCGAAAAATGTAAGAAAAATTAGTAAATCCCGATTTCAGACACGAAATCTATTATATAATCGATTTCTTGTTAATATCAGAACGAAATCAAAGCTGTAAGTCATATTTGTAAATCATTTGGTGAAGAAATTACATATTTTGCGAATAATATAGTCATAATTATATCTGTATGGATGAGTTTTATATGTGTATCATATCAAGAACAAACCAATTGTAAGTCTTTTTCATTGGAATTTCGATGAAAGATAACACATTCATTGTCTATATTCAAAAGGGCAGAGTGTATTATCTGATGCAATACACATTAGGAATGAGACATTTTTAGCTTTATAAAATAGAGATGTTAATTTTAGTTGTTTTGAGAGCTATAGAAGATAACATGGATTTCCTGGATTCTGTAGATGTGTTTTTGATTAGTGGAATGACTTGAATTTATTGAAATTGGCTCTTTGTCACTTTTAAAATGAAGGGAGCAAAAAGGAAGATTTTTCGAATTAATAGAATTGTTAACTCACGCCAAATTTTCAAGACAGAAGCCCAAAAGCCCCATTTCGTTGTAAAAACTGATTATTTCAAGGCTTACTTCTCTCCAAATGATATTTTTTCACAAGAAATCGGATTTGGACCGATTAAATTTAATAACAGTTCTATCAACTGTGTCACTGCCAGCAATAACTACATGCGTGGTGAATTTAGCTCCTTACAGACTTTTATGAGATTCAAATTGACAAAAACAGCGAAAACAATATTATTTTTGCGGCCTAATGAAGTTGACATTCAGACTACCATTCCAGCTTATTACGGAGAAGTCACAAATGATGTTATCTTCGGTAAAAATCCTGGAATGTGCGCTTGCTACAATTATAATAAAATGTTATGGACTGGATTTGTCTGTCAAAACATAGTTTCTTTATTTGCATTCTACCAGCGACCTACATTCCAATCTGGCTTTCAATTCACATTATCTCCTCAATATTCCATTGAAAGAGTACTTGCTGCTTTTAATTTCAAGGAAAAATTGAATAATTTAGGATATAGAGTGATTTATACTCCTAAGAAACCAAAATTTACCCATCTTTTTGGCTTTCAATACGCAGAAGAAAATTATGCAGCTACTCTTGAATATGAGACAAAGGTTGGACCAAGCATTGGTTTATCATTCAAGCCATTCAAATTACTTGGCTTGAAATATGATATTCAAACAACAATGATTATTCAAAAGGATAAATTCAAATCGTTAGTGAATGCAAACCTTAATGATGTTGTTACTCTTGCAGTATTTACACGTCAGCCCTTTATTGGTAATCCAACAGTTTCTGTAGAAGTATCTCTGAATTTTAAGACAAAGAAGAAGGACGACCAAGATTAATAGACTTAATAAATGTTTTTGTATTATTTGCATAAAGAACTTTTTATTTCTATTCTAAATTAGCAATCATGAAATCCTAATTTTAAGATAAAAGCACTCTATTATATGATGAAAAATTTTAAACATCAAATAAGCTTTGATATTTTTGGTGTTTTGAGAGAAACTAATATCCGACCAGTAGATGGAGTTTACAAAAGGAAATTTAGAAACAAAATGTTTCAGAAACTCCCAGCCGAAAAGCTTAAGAAGCATACAACATTAAAGAGTAACCTTCTTACAAAGCTGAAGAATCAGGCTATCAAGGAGATGCCACTTATCGAAGGCATTATCGATGAAATTTTCCCAAAGAAGACCCCAGTTATTGTTTATTCTATTGAACAGCACCTCAAGCTTTACGCTGTTGATAATAAGCCAGTTATGGTTGAACTTGGTACTGGTGATGTCTTCCCAATGCTCCGAACAGCCATCGACTACCCAGGACTCCTTCCAGTTATCTACGTAGATGAAGGTGCTGTCAATGCCCTTCTTCGTGGTGCTGATCTTATGGCTCCAGGTATCAAGTTGGTTCCAAAGGAATTCGAAGCCGGTGCTATCGTTCAAGTTAATCTTCTTGATTGCGATCATCCATTCATGATCGGACAGGCTCAAATGTCCTCTGCAGAAGCTAAGAATGCCAAGGGTATTGCAGTCAAGAACCTTACAATCCTTCGTGATGCACTCTACATGGCCCATAATGGCTTATAAACTTTAATTTGTGAACAATCATTTACAATTAAATAATTTTTCTTGCTATTTCGTTATTCATAATTAGAATGAACAGAGAACCCTCTTTAACATACAGATATCTTATTTTCATAACTATAAAATATATGATTTACATTTTAGAAAGCTTATTATCTTGACTTGTTATCAATTTGATTTCGTATTTACCTGAAATATAAAAATCTGAGCTGTATACAATAATAATTGCAGATTTGTAGCCGGTGTATGTCGCTACCGATCCTGCTGATAACTAATTTTTCAAAAATAATATTTTGGTCATTCTGGATAATTCATAATTGCATAATAAAAAAGATATTTTGTATGAATTTATGAAGAAATACATATATAATTTACAATTATATTAAAGTTTTTTTGATAAATTTTGTTTTCTTTTGATGATAAACCTGTGTAAAACTAATAAGCTGATATTATGGATTGTTAGTGGTAAAAATGTTATTTGTTAATGTTAAGAAAGTGAATATCCCTCAAAGGAGATATCGATATTTAATTTTTAAATTTTAAAACAAAGTTGCATGAAAATTGTATTCATTTCAAGCAGGTAAAACTTTATACTGGAGGAACTGGAGCAGGTTGAGGATTAGCTGGTTTATCCTTCAATTTATGCTTATCTTTATGTTTGGATTTATCTTTATGCTTCTTATGTTCCTTCTTCTTCTCTGTTTTAGGAAGTAAACTAACAAATCCGATTTTATCATCGTCCGGAAGCGTGAAATCTAATCTATTTCTCATATAATATGCCCAATATTGATATGTGCATGTATCTATGTTTCTAATATTATTTGTATTGAGAAGAAATGTTCTGAAATTTGGATCTTGCAATTGGTGCAAGAAAAATAGACATTGTGGATAACGAATGTACTTAGAATATTTTGGTGTATCCCAATACAGTAAGTATTGTAAAAATCTGCAAAATGCTGGATCATTAAAATAATTTTGCGAGGCTAAGAAGTTCAAATATTGAGGATTTGCAAGAGATTGAACGAATTCCAGCTCCATGACAAACCTCTTTTTGTTTTCTTCTGCAAGTGCATTCGCATCTAATTTTTCTGGTTCTGCAGGAGCAATTTCTGTAGTTGCGTCTTCAAATCCTGAGGATTCCTGCTTAGGGGGTTCTGGCTTGCTTGTTGTTTCTTCAGGAACATCCTGGAAGTCATCGACATCCTCGAAGCCGGAATCACTCATTTTGAAAGGGTTCAGTTTTTTTTTCCTTTTCCGCCGATAGAAAAAAAAAATTTCACCTGGCAATTTATTACATGAGATAAAAATTATCATCACAGACGTAGAATTAGAATAGTGCAGAGTTCAACAGGGATATCCAACAAAGGATGGCCATAAAATGAGGAAATTGAAATGAAAAATCTAGAGATGAAGTCGTTTCTTTCTCATCAAGATTTTGCCTTTGATGTACCAAAAATAATTAACTATTCCTTTTTAAAAATTGTTGTTTCTTTTGGTTATTATTCACAATATGAAATGACTAAAAGGGATAACTATTTATAATTTTTAATTCAGAAAGATTCCTATTATAATTCCTTAAAAAATGATGCAATTTCAAAAAATATATTTCTAAATTTTTATATTATTTAATTTCTATATCAAAAATCTCCTTACCCACCCATCTCTTATTGGACTAGATCACTTACAATCTTCCAAAAAAATCAGAGTTGAATAAAAAATTCTTTAAAAAATATAGATTTTGCAATAAAATCACGAAAATCTAAAAATTTTGGAAAAATTAAATAATGCAATTCGTGTTATTATTGAAAATGAAATAAATTTACAAGAAATTGTTTTTCAAATTTTAAATGTTTTGAAAAATAATATTTATTTTTCCAATAAATGGTCTTGAAGAAGAAATATATCTGAGTTAAAATAAAAAATGGTAATTTATGGAAAATAAAACAATATTTTATGAATAGATCTATATAAATTTTTCATTGACCTTCAGCTTTGCGCGGAGTTCCCTCACGAGTAACAACAGTACTAATAGGCTCTGATGTTGGCTTTGGTTGTGGTATAACAACTAAGCTGCTAATTGGAATTTGTTTTTCTCTGAAAGGAACTCTTGTATCAATTGGAAATCCGTCAGCATCCCATTTCTTTTGTGTTTTAACAGGAACGGATCTCTCCTTTGGATTGAATTTGGAGTAATCTTGGGAAGTTTCTACAAGAGATTCGACAAGTTTTGTATTTCCGCGTAATGTACTATGTTTGATTGTTGCTCTATTCTTTCCAGGAACTCTTTGAGAAAGCCAATGCTTTTTAACAATTTCTGTAATTGGAAGAAATTCAACTTGAGTTTGGGATTGAGGATCCTTAATTCCACCTCTGAAAACATTTCCCATAAGTTCAATGATCATTTCCGGTGGAGCAGTATGAATAGCAAACGTAATACAAGCGTCTAAATAAAAGATTAAAGTTTCGTAGAAAATTCTTTCTGTTCTAACAGGAAGGTTTGATGATATCGGGGACATCAAAAGCTGGCAGTATAACGAGCTCAATATTTGATAAGAATCAGATTGAATATCTTCTTGTTCTGCGCGTTCGTCATCATCAAGCTCTGGACCAATAGTGAGAGCCATTGATGATGAAACATAGTATATAGACGCCATAATCATTTCATCACACATTTGAGTCTTTGTAAATTCAACAAATTCTTTTGATTTTCTGACGAATGATTCTGTTACTTTTCCGTATTTCTTTTGACTTTTAATTGCTTTTCTCTGTCTTTCTTCATCACGACGTTTTTCATTTTCTACTTCTTTCATTCCTTTTTCTTTTAACTGCTCAAGATCAATATCCTTTGGCTCTTCTGGAGCATCCTGCTTTTCTTCATGTGGTGATGAAAGGCGAGTGATGGTCTCAGAGATAGGAAGGGCTTCAGATAAATCCATAAATCTAAATACGTTATTTTATGTAAATTTGCTTTTGAGGAAAATCAAATTTTACATTTTCAGGTGTTTCTAATCAACTTTTGTATGAGCAATCATACACACATATATTGCATACACTTATAAGGCTAGATTCTGAATATTCAAATGTGAATAGATTTCATGACTTGAGATTATTTATTCAATCAATGGGTTATTGATGCAATGACGAATATCTAATACTACACATTCATATGTTATATGAAACATCCTATTTTAGATCTTCAAAATCATGACTAAATTATGGAAACTTATTTGATGTGAAATATGTGTATATCTGTTGGTTATATGTCCTTATTCAATATGTGAGCACAAAGAGTGAGTATGTAGAGTTCAAATGGTTATGAAGTATTTGGCTAGAGCGATGAAAAAAATCTCAAAATTCTCTGAAAAAAATTTTTTTTCGATGCCTCTGAAAGATTTTGATTTTTTCCCTAAAGTTTTTGAAGATCATTCAAGAAAGACAGATTTCAGTGGCACAGTAACAGTAGTGTGCTTAGCTATTATGAGCTATCTCTTAGTTTTTCAGACTTTGGGATTTATTGCATCACCTCCAAAACAAAAACTCGTCGTCGACCAAGCAAAGCTCCCAGTCAATGAAGATAATGTTCTTGACTGGCCTTTTGTTCCAAAACTCCAAATTTACATAGATATCGAATTTCCTTCATTACCATGCCCAGTTATTGATTTTCAAGTTCTTGACAGATTCGAAGAAATCCAATCCGATTCATTTTCTAAAGTCAAACTGAAAAGAATCGGACCAGATGGAAAAATTATCAAAAATAAAAAGACAGAGAAACCAGAAGTTTGCGGTTCTTGCTATGGAGCAGCATCAGGATGCTGCAATACATGCAAAGATGTCAAGAACGCCTTCAAAAAGAAAGGAAGAGTTCCACCTTCTTTATCAACCATTCGCCAATGCAGAGATGCTGTTATAGACTACAATCACATTAGAAATGAGAGTTGCCATGTCTATGGTACCGTTATTGTTCCTCCAACTCATGGAACAATCGTAATGAACTCAGGCGATTCATATGGTGCACAAATGAATACTACAACCTCTTCTTTAGGAATTTCGATTGATGATTTTAACTTTACACATAAAATTAATGATATTTACATCGGTGAAAATGATCTTGGAGATCATCCATTGAAAGGAATCAAGAAAGTACAAAAAGAAGTCGGCAGATACAAAGGATTATACTTTATCCGCACATTGCGCGAACAGAAAGGTTCCCTTCAGGTTTACAGAGCTACATCAAGCCATTACGACAGATATCGTGAGGGAACAACAGGAAAATTCCCTGGACTTTACTTTAATTACGACGTTTCTCCAATTATTGTAATGTACAAACGCGATACTACTGTTTTGAATTTTGTAATCGAACTGATGGCCATTCTTGGCGGAATTTACTCTCTCGGATCTCTCCTCGACCACCTTTCCCTTATAACAATTAAGCGCCAGGCTGCATCAATTGAATAAATTTATATTTTTATATTATTTTTTAAAAAAACCTCAAAATTATTTCTAAACATCAAGTAGTTTAATATAGAGTATAATTGTTTAGTTAAAATTTTTGTAATTTTTCTGTAAAATAAAAAAAAGCATTTATTCGTCGTCGCCTGGCGCCTTCGCAGACTGGTATGTTGGAATCATATATTGGATGTTAATGAAAGCTTCTGGACCACCGTTGAGTTCGAGGCATTCAAGAGTTTCTTGAATGAGATCTCCGATGTTCTCTTTCTTTCTCTGACCGTATTCGATGCGATCTCCTAAGTTCTTGTTGCATAATGAGAACTCGTTAAGAACTGGGAGGAGTTGTCTGTAAAATGGAATTAAAGCTTCGCCAGCAAGTTCGCTGGACTTGACTAATTTCTGCATTGTTCGAAGTGCAACTGGGACAATGTCCATATCGCGTGTATCGAGAGCTTTCTTTAATGGAATAACAACTTGTGGGATGCACTGAAGAACGCGGGTGCCACCGTTTTTAAGGAGCTCCCATGTGCCCTTACGTGCGAAGAAACGATATGGCTCTTCCTTTTCACGAAGACCATCGAAAAACAATGGTAAATAATGCTGATAGTCAAGAACGGATGGATCAACTGACCAAGCAATAGCATTCTTGAATGTAGTATGTACAAGACGAACTGGAATATCTCCACGATCGTAAAAACGACGAAATTCTGTATGTTGATTTGGAGAAACTTTCTTGTGAAGACTCCTCTTTTGTCTCTTAACTGGTGCAACCTCGCGGGTGGCTACTTCAGTCTCTGGATGTAAGACGGCCCTTGGAGGTTTAGTGACTGGGAATCTGGGAAGCTTACCACCACTCATTTTTGTTTTATAACGTATTTTTCTTTGTCGGTTATTTCTTATTTTATGAAAATTTCACACTGGCTATAAACTAGTAGCTATAAATAGTATGAATCATTAAAGATTTCTGTGAAAATCAAATATTTTCCGAAAGAAATTTCTAAAATCTTCATTAACGAGACCAATTATACAAAAATTAATCTACCTGTTAGGTGTTTAGTCGAAAACACTTTATAGAGACATGCTTTATTTCAAATATTTTAGAAATTTTCATAAATTTTCACTCAAAAACACCTAAAAAGTAATAACTTGATGAATCATCTAATTAAAAACTCTTGTGAAATAGCATGTGTTGAAAGTAAATCTAAATTTTTGGAATATCCCAATGAAATTTATAAAGAGATAAAATTACTATCAAACATAACAATATTTATTTCTAACAAACATATATCATATTTAAAAGAACTCACTTGATTCAGAATCATCTTCATTATCTTTGATATCGAATTCAACTCGTGGGGTTTCTTTTTCTGGAGTAGCATTATTAGTAGGAGGTGGGGTTTCTTCCTTCTTCTTCTCAGTTTTCTCTTCTTTTTCGAATTCATCAACAATTGATGAAGAAGATTCAATAATTTCTTCTTTTTCTTCTACTTTTGTATCATCTTTGGTCATTACATCAGGTTTGTTTCCTTTTGTCCATATCATACCTTGCCTGACACTTTGATCCAATAAGGATGGCATATCCTTTGATTTCGGAGAATCTGGAGCAACAGGAATAGGTTTATCCTCAAAAACATTAGAATCTGAAGAAGAAGATGATGATGAGGAATCAGAACTCGATGAACTTGACTTCTTCTTTTTATCATCTGACTTATCTTTCTTTTCTTCTGCTTTAGGTTCTTCGTGATCTGATTTTGCTTTTTCATCTGCAACAAAACTTTTAATTGGCAATGGTGGCAGCTGATTTTGAGGTGGTTGAGGTGGCGGAGATTGCGCTTCTTTCTTAGGTTCTGGTTTCTTATCATCGGATTTCATTTTATTATTTTCTTTTTCGTCTTTTTCTGGTAATGAATGATGAGAAGATTTAGATTTCGCAGATTTATGTGAAGAGGATGATGAGGAAGATGATTTGGATGACTTTGAGGATTTCGAAGATTTTGAATCTTCACTAATATAAGATGTATCTGAATGGATTGATTTGAAGCTTTCTGAATCCGATCCTTCATCAAATGCCATAGAAAGGGTATTCATTTCGTCTAAATCTCCTACATTTTGTAGAGTATAAACATTTGCATCATTTCGTCTGTCTTTTTCTAATTGAACAATTGCATAGTAGTTAATATCATTTGAAGCAGCCTGAACAATATTACTTTGTGGTATAACACTTGCTAATAAATCAACACAGTATTGAACTTTAACTTCAGCTCCAATTCTACCATCTTCTGTACGTAAAAACATAGTACTTGATACTATAACAGGTGACCCTTTCTTTGCTGCATCAATTCCGGGAATTAAATTTAAATTTCCAAAATACGTTTTAGTAAAGTTTGAAATTGATATTATTAACGGGAGTTCTTGCGAGTTAGCTTCTGGAGCCATTGCAAAGCTCATTATAATACTCTTTTTGTAAATAATTCTGCCTTTTGATTTTGTAATTTGACCAAGACATTTTTCTTCCAAACCAGGAATAGATAAACTAACATTCGATCCTTCAATACTTGGATTGAGTATAGTTACGCTTTCCAAAAGGCAATCTACAACAAAATTCATTTATACGTTTGCAAAAAGTGACAGAAATTATTTTATTTTTGAAACACTGTTTCTATGATGAGATTGAAGTTTCAAATGAAAATTATGACTATACAAGAATAGCCATGCTCAATGTAGCATATTATAAGCATGAATTTTTAATATTATTGTTCTTTTTGATGTCTTTCATTAAATTACAGATCACATCAAAAAGTTGCAGAAATAGCACAAAAACTATAAAAAGACCAACATTATCTTTTCCTCTACTATCATAAAACCCCATATCATTTAATTTTAAATAAAATTTTTATTTCATCAATCATGAATATGCATTTATTTCTTATTCATAAATCCTATACGAAGTCCGACTTCGAATGTGGGAATTGCACCATGTGATTTCAATAAATCCAACATTTCAAAGTTTTGTTGATAAAATGCACATGAAAGCGAATTATACCCTTTGATGTCTCTTGCATTGACATCAATTCCTTTTGAAATAAGATATTGAGCAATTTCCAAACTGTTATATTTTGCTGCATAATGAAGAGCTGTCCTTCCTTTTTCATTTGCTGCATTTACATCTACACCTTTATATGAAAAGTATAAACAGAAAGATAAAGAATTGAAACCACCTGAAAAAGCAAAGCATCTGTTGATTTCATTTGCTTGGTCTACATAAATGAAAAATGCATTAAGATTGAGGAACCGACAGCAACTTGCTAAATCAATTTTTATGTTGTGCTCATTCATCAAATAGGTAACAAAATCAATATTGTGAGAAATAATTGCATATTTCATACATTTTTTGTCGGGAGTCTTGAATTTCAAACACTCATTCATTATTTCTGGATTTCCGCTCAAAAATGAAAAATTAAGACACATTCTTGTAATTGAAAGGTTGAATTTTGTTCTCAGAAGCTTGAAACACTGAACTGCCTTATGATAACAGCATAATTCAAGCAATGAGAAACCTTTCTTTGAATCAGGATAGAGATCACTTTTGAGCATTTGATTTATATCAAATCCTTCTGTTTCTGTTAGTACTATTAATAATTTAACATCATCATGCATAATTGCCCAGTGAACTGTATTCTCATCATGAACATCTAATATATTTTTGAAAGTGCTGTATTTTTAAATCTGTTTTATTTGCTTAGGATCTATCTTGACTCCAAGATCTCTATTTGCTAAATAACCAAAAATTGGCATAAATCTAACTTTATTTAATCTGTATTCTCTGCATATCAATTGAATAATGGTCCAGTACGATTTAAAATAGCGGTTCCTATATAAAGAAAGTAATTGGATCTTCATTATCAGATCATGTGGGAAAAAGATCTTTGCCTCGAGCAAATTTTCTTTGATCATTTCATAAATCCCCAATAAGCTTTTAAAATCATCTGTCTCGAGTTTGTACAGGGCATCCAGGGTACTGTTGCACCTATTGAATAAATGCACTAGTTCAGTGTAGTAACTTCCCATTGTTAAAAATGATTCAATGGTATTGAAAAATCAAAGTCTTTTGAAAAAAATTCCACTAATTTTTTTACTGTGGAATCAATCATATTGTTTGAATATATCTTTTTAACACTTGAGTTATTTTGAATATCTATTCAATTAAAATCTTCAGTCAAAAATTTGGAAAAATCTGGTCAATCATTGAATTATATGGAATTTGATCGTTACACTGTTCAACCACATTATAAACAACAAAATTTGTTGCTTATAAATCCTAAATTTGATGATCAATAAAATTCAGGAAGATTTGAACTTTTAAAAGCGATTTTTGGAAAAATTAAGTATAATTTAACAAAATTTTCCATAATATTATTCATTTCACTCAGATAAGTGGAAAAAATTCATGTAAAAATTGATATCAGTAAATATTTTATTCCTAACCTGACAAATATTAATTTGGCTTAGCAATATTCAAGTTTTCACCAATATATTCACTTGGATTTTCGAAGATTTTCACAACAAAATCTGCAATGCTCTTTCTTGAAATGGATGTTCCTCTTTCTGGCTGGCCTTTCGGTGTGAGAATATAATCTATCTCGTTGGCGCTTGTGAACCAATTAGGTCTAAGGATTGTGTAATCAAGTCCACTTGATTCTATGATATCTGCTAAGCCACGATATGGATGAAGGATTGATGGGACTGGATCATCATAAATACCAATTGAGCTGATAGCAACAACACGTTTAACGCCTTGATTCTTCATTGCTTTAACAATTGTTCTTCCCATTCTCTCCAAATCGCCAGCAAGATTAATATAAACAACATCCTGACCCTTGACAGCCTTTTCAACAGCTGCCAAATCGGTTGCATCACCTTCAATAACCTTTGCATTTCCAGAATTTCCAAGGCGACTTTTACGTCTGACGAATAAAGTAACATCAAGAGCACGTGCTAATGCTGTGCTAGTAACAACCTTGCCGAAGCTTCCACTTGCACCAATAATGAGAATCTTGTTCAATGCACTCATTAATAAAAATGATTAAGGATACCCTTACGTGTCAGATTTTTTGCGCATACGAAGAAGTCATGCTAGACATGAGCTATAAACCTGAAATTTTAGCAACATATTTAAAACTTTTTAAACTACAATACACTTTAATATTCAAGAACAAAAATATTCTTTTTAGAAATTACATAATTATTTTATGTGAAATCTATATAAAAACATATTTTGCGAGCGTAACTTTTTTCTTTATAAGCATCTTATATGACTGATAAACTGTGAAGGCACATAATTGTTAATTCATAGAGTTGATATGTTTCCAAAATTGAGAGGAAATTTGAAAATTGAATACCCTTTCAATTCAATTTTCAAAAGATATCAGCTCCTTCAATAATTGAAGGACGATTTTGATCATTTGCTCTTAAAACAAGTATGCCATGGAGAAAAAAGTTACGCTCGCAAATCTGAAATATAACTATCATATAAAAAAATTAAATTTCTAATTTTTTACTCTATAGATATTATTGGCCACTTGTGTAATGCATAAAAGTTTATGTCATATGCATACATTTGGAAGTATGGGAGACGAGGGAAATTACTTCTATGAGGCACTAGGATTTTTAAAAATTTCTCTATCGGACTCACCATTCAATTTCTCGAAAATTAAAAAAAATCAATAATAGCTAAAATGTATTATGCATAACAAATTTTAATGTTACACGGTATTTTTTGAACTTCATGACATGAATTTTCTTTATATTATTTTTTTTTTTTGGATTTTCTATGATTTATGCGATAGGCTGGAACAACATTGTAAGTGCAATGATATCATTTATAGAGAAATCTAAAACTTCAGCATTCAGAACTCGCAACCACAAAAATATTCATTTGCTAAGTAAGTAAAGTTGATTAAGTTCGACACTTAGCTTTTATACGTAAAACCAAGTGTGTATTGTTATTTCTTGTTAAATTATTGAGAAAAAAATAAATTGTACGAGAAACGATACTGATTATTGAAATAATATTGAGGGTAGCTGCAGATTTCTTCATTAACATGCCGGAAATTTGTTAATCTTGGTTTTCTATCATAAAATCTGTCGAAGAATCTAAAAACGGAGATATGAAATAGAGATCATGTAAATCTAGAGTATCCTGTCAGAAAAATAGACTAAGCATGTAACCCTTTTTTGGTCATAAACACTTTTTACCACTTAGTCATACAGATGATCATTAAATTTAAACGAGCACTTTTTGTCAGAATTTATTCTTTTACAAAGACAGAAGATTTTAGTATTATTTAATATTAGTGCTGTAGCAAAATTCAAAAAACAGTGAAAATTCAGTGAATTTGTGAATTCACATTTTTTTCGACATTTTTCTTGATATATCCATGCACATTAAGAACACAGCTTTGATACGCTTAGAAAAGCATATTTCATATGAAATTGTTAAAGAAATAAACAATTTATATAAAAATTGCACTTATGGGCAGTTTAGATATATAATTTATATATAACATATATACAAATCCATAGACAAAGTGCAATAACTACAATGTTGTAGAAAATTACAGCAGAAATACTGACTTTTTGAAGGATAATAAGAATTCTTCTAAATGTTGTATTTTTATAATTTGATTGATTTTTTTTACTATTTCATTAATCTTTTATGAATAATAATTATTTTTAATATATGTGCTATTAAAATTTCAAATTTTGACTAATATATCTAAGTTATCTGAACGAAACATTTAGAAAATATCATACTTACATTGAAATAGCAAGTAGAGCATATTAATAGCAAGTTTCTTGGCTTTATATCTATCATCTATTGTTGTTTGATCAAACAAAATTCACTCTATTATATGGTGTCAATTAATTAAAACAATTTTTAATAGTTATTTATTTAGTGCGAATAAGTGCAAACTCATAAATGAATAACTTAATAATAGAAATGAATTATCTGATATAAATCTCACATTTTGTCCATCAGAAATACTTTAATTGCATACGCATAACTATTAGTAATACGTCTGGAGTGTCAATTAATAACAATCCCACAACAAGTAAAATTCAGATTTTTATTAAACTTATTTTTTCCTAAAAGTTTTCTCAAATTACTATATATACATATGTGGATAAAATAATAGTAATATTGTAAAAAATTAGATAATTTTTTTTATTTGAGAACCTCTCAAAAGTTCATTCAATTTATCAATTGTTTCAGTTTGATGTATATTCATTTCTGGAGCCTAAAACTTTAGCAATCATGACAATATCATATTCTCTTTCTAACTACGCAATGTAAGGGTATCCTTAAGTTTGAATTGATTCAAATTTGAGAGTCAAAAAATAAATTGTGAATTCACACTTGGAACTCTTGCCAAACTTTAAAAATAAAGAGATAAGGTGCAAATATAACCTTCTGCAATTGTTCTTATGAAAAAATTGCCTTCATAAGATAGCTGTGAATTCATCAGTTTCAATCTTTAAGGCTTCTCTCCGACCAAACGGTCTGTATCGGCTTTCATTTCACATTCTTTCTGGAGATGGGGATTTTGATATCTCAAAAATAAAAAATTTCAAAAAAATACAACTTGGGTTCTTTTAAATGCTTGTTGGTAGGGCATTAATACTCCAGAGTATGAGGTCCGAAGTCGCGGTTTTTGCTCAAGAATAAATTGCATTATCCAAAATTTGACCGAAAGCATGTAACTCAAGCAGTATATTACGAAAATGCCTAGAGAATATATTCAAACCTATTAATTTATTTTGTATTCCGAAACCAATAAGACGCTACATTTTTAAAAATTAGATTCAAAAGAATAGACGAAAAAATAAACAGTACCAATTTAAAAGAATGTTACAAACAAATATTTATTCAATATAAAAAGTATAATTACTTGAAATTAAATTTCAAATTTTTCAAATACTAATAAAGTTGGCCTATGATCTTCTAATTGAATGCTGCAATGAGATTCAAAATCTGTAATGCGAATATTTTTTGCATCATCTAGATATACAAATACATCTTCTTCATAATTTTCGAATCTAATATAAGGAACATAGTGATGTCCTATTTCGTATGATAAGCTATCTGGCATAAGGAAGGCTATAATTTACTTTATTATGATTTTCTTAATTGATATAAAAACATTATTTGCCAAAACATATATTATAGGCTTTTATGAATTTCATAATAGAAATTCAACTTGAAAAGGCAACGATCCCTATATCAGTTTAATCAAATTTAGACTTTTTCTTATCAGTATATCTTTTCATGATGATAAACTAAATTCTTTTAGAATAGCATGTGTTCCATCTGAAAATACTTAATTGAAATCCTTTTATCCAAAAATTCATCAACAAATTAAATTATGAAGATTATCAAGTGAAAAACTTTTGATTGACCATAAATTTGCATACTACACTTCCAATCAAAACATTTACAATCATTCTTTTTCAAATTCAAATGAGAGAGGGTCAAAGTTGCTATTTGTCACTTTTCCACAAGAATATAATGGGGAAAAAGTTATCATATAGTTGATCTCATTCACTGAGGTGAGAGATGCATGTAGTGTAATGTGATAAACATTGTGATTGCTGCTCTAAGTCCTAGGTTCGAGACACATTGGCTTCATTTTTCTCTTTTTTATTGACGTAAACTATTCAATTTTTGTGTTCTCCATTCAAATTTCAGAATTTTTTTTGCAGATTTCACGCTACATTCGAAGTTACCTTTTGTAACAACCACCACTGCCTACGAAAGACGAAAGTGTGTCACGATTTCACCCGGAAATCCGACGGTTGTTTAAGAGTATGCACTTTTGTCACCTACTCAAATTCAAATTTGGATTTAAATATTTCCTGTTTTTCCACATAAAATGAAAAAAGAAGAGTGGTTTATGCTTATTCAATTAATAAGGATTATGAATATAGCATCAGAGTTTTAAAAAAGTCACTTCACCACCCTTCGGAGACCTCGTACAAAATCGAAAAAATTTAGACCAAAATCTACTTTTTCGACATAAAATGTATGTAATTTAGAGGTGGGAGTAAGCGCAATGATGAACACATGGATAGTAGAATCATATTATCCAAAGTTAAAAAAAACTTGTTTTAGACGAAAATGCGGAATAATTTCAAATTCTTTTAATTTTAGGATTTTTTTAAAAATAACCTCTGTTATAATATCTGCAAAGGTCAAACAATGATATCTTATAGGTAATGTCCCATGAAACTGACTGCATGAGGAGTTTGGTACCTTAGGATCATGGAAAAATTGAGAGGATCAGTTCACATCGGAGAGAAGCCTTAATTTGAGTGTGAATTCATATCAAATTATTTTTGGTTAAAAATGCATATTATTCTGTTGCCTATAAAATAATTATTTTTGATATGAATTCACATTCAATTTTTTCAAAACAATCGTTATCTTTCAGAATTTTTTGAATTCAACTCAAATATCTCTCTGTCAGAATTCTAGGAATATTATTATAAATTCATTGAAAGATATATCATGCAGATACACATTAAAAGAAAACATACATTAATAAGTAGAAAAACAGAGTTTTTGGGCAATTTCTGATTCATAAAAATATGAAATTATTAATTTCAAATAATCAAACATAATATTTTTATTCAATGAGTTAAATCTCTATACATAGAAGAGTAAAGAGAGTTTGCAATCCTAAGGATCGGAATATAAGGAAGATCTTTTATGGAATGAAGAGTTCCAATAATTCTATCTGCTTTTACACCTATTATACTTCGTTTCTTATATAAAACAATTGCAGCAGTCATCATGAATTGGAAATGAACCATATTTTCATTTAATATTACTAAATAATCCCAAAGACGAATTACATCATCAAAGCATAGTACTTGGGCAAACATTGTAAGGATCCAAGAGAAACAATAATGCATCGGATTTAAAATTCCAATTTCGTTAAAGTATGATGACAATTCCTTATCATTCATTGCAATTGCTTTGTTAATAACATTGAAATATTGATATATCTGACGAGTATTTTCTAATGATGAATAAATTACGATTAAACCATTTCGAATCAAGAGTTGGGATAGTAATTTCATAGATACGGCTTCAATTGTTATGACATCATAGTTGAGTTTCATTCCTGCATAATAAGAAACTGTATAAATTGGTAAAATTAATTCATTAAGTCCTTGAATGTAGTTTAGATCTGGTTCTGTAATTGCGAATAAGATTAAGATTCTTTCCATCCTTCTTGTATGAATTTCTAAATCCGAAGTTTCTAAATGTGAAATTAATGAGGATCTAAATGAATTTACTGTCCTTTTCATATCATTATCAACTTCTTGAAGCAACTTTGACATCTCTGAATCCATTTCTTCTTCTATTGGTTTATGAAGGAAATTTTCATCATATTCAAGATGCTGATTGAGTATTTCTACGTAATTATTTCTTAGTCCTTGTATCACAGAATCCCATTTCTCACGCTGATATGGTACTACTTCTAAAGACAAAATCCAATGGTAAAATCTTATCAAATTATCTCCTTTTGGAAGCTGATTATTCGCATATTCAAAATGCTCCTTTCTATCTATAATTCCACTCTTCTCTTCTTCATGAATTAGATTATAAAATTGAACTATTCTTGGGTCTTCGGAAGTCATATGACACAATTCACACCCGTAAGACCCATCTGCTCATGATAAGGTTCTGAATTTTTCTTACTGTAACATGTAATACATGTAAAGTCATATCATTTTTCAAAGTAAAATTGAATTATCATCTCAGATTTTCTTCATAATATCAATAAAAGAATGAATAAAAAGAAGAAATAGAAACTACACACATATGTAAGATGAATGTTTGATTATTGGCTTTTATTGATAAAGGATAAAATCAAATTTCCTATTCAATGCAAGAGTTTTGGAATAAGAAGTACAATTCAAGGCCGTTGAAAATAAGCAGAGCTTGCCATCAATGCTTCTTTTATAAGAACTGGAAAATATTTTTGAAAACTTTATGAAATCAGTTCTCCATACGATCAACAAAATTTCTTTAGTTTATTCGGAATTTTATTAACTAAAAACACTTTGAGATGATATGTTTCACTTAATGATTCACGAATCTATTGAATATCGTATGCTTCAGAAATGATGACCAAAACAATATTCAATTCTAGATTGATTAGAAAAATTAACGATAGAATCACTTTTCTTGAACAAAATGCTGAACAAAAGGCCTCTAATTGGATGGGAAAAGCTTTTCACATCAGGTAAAGCATATCTTCAGTTCGCTCTTAGCTTTAAGAACCCAAACGACATCGAAAAAACAATTATCAAGATGAACAGAGTTGTTTCAGGATTACATCATGCAACTGACGGAAAATATCTTTATAAAACTCTTGAAAAGACTCCAGTGTATAAATTACCAGATGATCACAAGAGTCTTCCTGAGCTATGCGATTATATGTATAATAATTTCACCAGACCAAAAGAATTAGCTCTTGCATCCATCGGAGCCAACAAAGATACAGTAGTTCTCAATGTTAACCACTTGGCATGCGATGGAATGTTCTTGAGAAATCTTTTTGATTATTTGAACCAAGATGGAAACGAATCTCAATCAGCTACATCTATTATATCATCAGATGATATCTTTGATAAGGAAATTAAGAACTATAATGGCTTTATGCCGCCATTTGCCGGAAATGATTCAGATTTAACAAGAATCAATCCACAAAATCCATTTGAGCTTCATTACTCAGCAACCACAACAATGACAGAAGTACATACAGATACTAAAGATCTTATGACATACAAACTCAATGGAAAAGTTAAGAATTTAACTGATTACTATTGGGCAAATGTTGTTTTAGCAATTTCAGCATTCAATAACAAGTTTGACAAGTGTGGGCTTAACACATGCATCAATCTTCGCAGATTCTTGAACAAATCAGATTTTAATATTGCAAATTGCTTCTCCCACATCAGAGTCATTGCAAATGTTACTAAAGATGATACAGTAGACACATTAATGAGGAAAATGAGAGCAGACTTCAACGAAAGAGTAAGTAAAGGTGAACATTTCGCTGCTCTCAAAGCTGCACAAAGCCAAAGTAACAAATCAAGTCAATTGGCTCCTGTTCCAGGAATTCCATTCTCTCTTTCTTTAATTGGCCAGTTTGACCTCGATAAAGGAAAATTCAAAGATGCATGGGGAAATCTTAAGATTCTTGAAGATGGCCTTAACTTAGTTGGTTTTCTAGGATATTCCATTAAGAAGAATGGTGTTAATACTATTTCTGGAAGACTGAGAACAGCATCTTCTCATTTCGGAGATGGAGATGCTAGAATATTCGGAAATTCAATTATGTATGGTATGCAAAAAGTTCATCCATCAATGAAGATTGGTGAAGCATTTGATATGCTTCGTGATTATCAACTTGAAATGAAAAAGGCTATCCTGTATCCACAACTTATAGAATAAAGTTATTTATCTATCTCTCTTAACTATAATGAGCTTTTTTTTATTCGGTCACATCACATTCCGCCACCATTATAATATGAAATCAATATAAAAGAATCTTAGCATTAATAATGATAGATAATAGATGGTTTAATATGAGTTCAATCAATCTTTAAGTGCATAGTTAATTAGTCTCATTTTAAATTTGATTTTGTAATTCTACATTAAAATTGATGATCATTTCTAATAATTTTGCTTACTGATTCTATTTAAGATGAAAACAAAGACTTGCGGCAATTTACTTTCAAGTTTTTTTTTCCAATGAATTTATTGAAGGTTTAGCTTTAAATAAATTTGAAATATTGCATTACAATGCATAACAAATCATACATCATACAATTGTTGGTATAAAAAAATGAGATATCGAAAATTTTCCAAAATTTAACTTATAATTTCTCATTTTCTCCGAGAAAATTGATAATATTTACTATTTCATATATAAACATCCTTACAGTAAAGAAATCGGTGGCAAATTTTCGTTTACAAATTTGAAAATTTTCGTTTATAATTTCATATTTTTTAAAGGCATCATGACCTTTGATTCCCTTCTATATGAGGAACTTTGCGCACAATATGCATGGCTTGACAAATTAATCACAGAGATTTATTTGTTAAAGGAAGAACAAGCAGACGAATTGTTCGAAAAAATTGTTAACGTTGTTGAGTCCAAAAAACTTGATATTAATTCCATTATTAGAATGATTGTTCAAGCATCTAATTACAATGCTAGAGCCCTTCGTTCTTACTACTCACTCTTCCTTAAATTGCATGATAAATTCAAGTTTAAATTTTTTGGACCAAACTTTGATTTAAGTCCTAGGTTCCAAGCTCTTGTCAAGAAGACATTCAATTTAGTTGCAATGATCCAAGAAGAATATATTCCAAAAACTATCGATGAAATCTTGAATATTTATCGCAACAATTCAGTTATGCATTCATGTCTTTATGACAACATCGAAGTATTCAAGGGACATTATGCAAAAGGAACATTTAATGAAAATCTATTTTATAAAAATCAATTCATTCTTGAATGGTGCTCACAATATGGTTCAGTCAAGTGTTTCAAGTTTCTTTTGGAGAAAGGTGCACAAATAACAAGGAATTGTTTAATCAAAAGCTTCATGGGAAGGAATGACGAAATTATTCATTTATGTCTTTCAAAATTTTCTCCTGGAACTGATTGTAATATAACCGCTTCAATAAGTCATAATCTTGATTATGGAAAATTGTTATATGATCAATATCATATTCCTTTTGATTATTACCAAATTTGCTATTACAGGAATTTCCAATTATTTGTTTATTCTTTATGCAAAGAACACAATTACAACCAATGCTTTCCAAAGGTGCTGATGTAAACACTGTTGATAGAACAGGATGGAACGCATTGATGATTGCCGCTGAAAATAATAACATTGAACTTGTAAATAAACTTGCAAGTCTTGGTGTTGATGTCAATAAAAAGAATCCTGATGGAGAAAATGCTTTACACATCGCATGCGGAAATAATTGCAATGATGTTATTGAGAAATTAATATCTCTGGGATCAGATATGAATAGTCAGAATTTGAAGCAAGGTGTTACTCCTGTTATGATGGCATCAACTAATTCTTCCTCATACATTTTGAATTTGTTACTTGAACATGGTGCTGATTTCAACAAAACAAGTTTTTACGGAATGACTGCTTTGCATTTCTGCGCAACATACAATTCTGTTGATGCTGCAAAGTTGTTATTAAGTAAAGGAGCAAAGATTGATGCCGTTGACAATTTTGGAAGGACTCCTCTTGTTGTTGCCGTCAGTAATTATCCAATCGCCAAATTCCTTATTGATAATGGAGCGAACATCAATTACAAAATGCCTTCGGACGGATCAACTGTTCTGATGGTTGCAATTGCTGAAGAATCGGAAGAACTTGTTCGTTACCTCGTTGACAAAAGTGCAAATCTCAAGGCAAAAACAAAACAAGGTCAATCAGTAATGAATTTTGCATCCCATTGCAAATCTCAAAGTATCAAACAGTATTTAATGAGTCATGGAGCTAAATGATGAATTAAAAATATGCAAAGCACATTAGTTCCTTCTCAGCATTAATTTCCTTTAAAAATTTTTAATTATTTTCAAATTTTAGCTTTTTACAATGAAAATCACCATAACATTACCTATACTACCAATACTTAAAGAAATAACTGCTTATAACATGTAATATTTTTAATTTTAGATAATTTTAAAGTTTTGTCTGGTCAAATTTATAATTTATGATTTTTAGTCTATATACATTATATTTATATAGTTTATTTGTATTTTTGTCTAACAGAATTTTTCATGAATGGTGAACAGAAGAGTGATTTGTGGGAAGCATACCACAGCTTAATGGATGAAGAAGAGGAAAAGAACGAAGAACCTCAACCACAAGTAAGAGTTTCCGCAAACGCTTTCAAAATCGTTGAAATGTATGTAAGTTCAAGCGATTCAGACGACGAACAGTTAGAAACAAAGTATACAGATAATGATCCAGATAGCAACAAGCCAATCAGATCCGTTCATGAAATTCCAACTCACGAATTACCACCTGGCGAAGTACCAGAGAACATTCCAGAAAACTGGAAGCTATTACCAGCATGCAGGATTTCTAACAAAGTAGGAAACCTTTGCACTGCAGATCTTTTAGGTAAACCATTAGAACCAGGCTCTCTTCTTCTTACACAAGACAGAAAGCCAACTACACGTGTCCTTGAGCTCTTTGGACAAATTGAGAATCCTAAATTGATCATAAATGGTGATTATCCAGTTGGAACTGTTTTGTACACTGTTGTTGAAGATTCTTCAGTACCAGATCCGGAATTAATTGCTAGGAAATATAAGGGAACTGATGCTTCTAACAAATTCGATGAAGCTGTTGAAAAACCTTCAGATGATGACGATATTTATGGCAATGAAGATGATGACGAAGATGAACATGTTTATTAAGCTTTATTGTTTAATTTGAAATAGAGAATAAATTTAATTTTTTATTAGAGATTTTATAATTAAGTTTAATCCTAATGTTTTCATAATAATATACATTAGAGGAAAAGACTTTATTACAAATTATGTTTTGAAGTCACATTTCTTGATGGAAAAATGTTTCTCCTTTATTTCACCCGGAGACACCCTCGAGAATATCATGTCAGACCTTCAATGCATAATATCGGATAGAAATTGGTCAAATTTAGTTGAATATATTGGCAATCGGAGCAATAATTTGAATTCTAAATTTGATGATATAAAGCGAGATAAATCTAACATCGAAATTCTATTCACCACATACACACCATCAGAAATAGCTAGTTATTTCATTGCAGAAAATGATTCTATCTTATTTATTAATTGTTTATCGCTTTTAGTTCAAAAGAATCCATTTGCTAAGACATTTATTGATACAGTTCTGAGAATATCTCCAAAATCCGTGAAAAGATTAAACATTTCTTCAATATTGGGAACTTCTGAAAAATTAGATTGTTTTTTTCAGAGAATATTTGATGTTTACTTTCAGTACCATAATGAAATCGTTCTTGACATCATAAAATCTTTTCAAATACGTGATATTATCATATTTTTGTTCGAAAAATACAAGTTCAACGAAGATCATTACGATAATTTCCTAAAAACCTTAGCAACAATATATATGCAAGAAAATTTCGATAATTACCTTAAAGAACAATTCGAAAAATTAATAATGAACGAAAATTATCTAAAAGTCGGAATTTTCTTGGATTTTTTAGAAGTTGCATCAATATGTAATGCATTAGACTACAAAGACAAGTTCCAAGAGCTTGTTTCTCCATTTTCTAATTCATCATTTGTAAAATATTTGGCAGAGAGATCAGAAAGCAATAAATCAAAGAATTTCGGTAGAATTCAATTAGATGTATTACCACAATCAATTTCTAGTCCTCTGAAAAGAAAATATATGGCAGAAATTTTAGAAATTGAATCTGATGACATTTTAATATCTTTAGCCGATGTTTATTATAATTCAAGAGTTATACCAAAGATTATAACCGAAATATTCTACAAAAACAGAGCTTATTTCGATAATATTTTGGTTGAAAAAATAACTCGACTTAGTTCGAGATATAACACAGTCAAAGTGTTACAAGAAGAACTTGTTAACTTAAACATGATCGAAAGGCCAAAAATTGCAAATGATTTCGATAATTTAATTAACCATCTCAAAAATGGTTTTCCTGATTCTGATAGAAGACTTCTTCAAGCATTTAAAGATTTTATAAGTGATAAGGACCAAGAAAATCTACCAATCCATTGCTGTGAATTCGAACAAGAAGTTTTAATGAAATTACCTCCGAAAATTAAAGCAAACATTGCTCAAAGTTTAGTAGAAACACTTAAGAAAAACATAGATAATGACTCAAACCAATCAAACATTGATAAACATGCAAGAACTCAAATAATTCAGTTTAATGAGGAAGATTCGAGCGAAGTAATATGCTTTCTTATACTTAGACTACCAATAAATAGGCTCATGCAAGACTTTATGGTCGACGACCCATCACTTGACTGCAAAAGATTAATATTGCTTCATAATGCAGCAATAAAGTCCTCAAAATCAATAGTATTTAGAGGAAAACCATTACCAAAGTATGGTGTATACATAGACTCATTCATTGTTCAGAGATTACGATGGAGATATAATCGAGGAGATACACTTGACAGTTTATGCTTAGATTACAGGTTTTTAGGTCTTGCTGAAGATGATATTGCATTATATATCAAATGGGAGACTACAACGAATCCACCAATGTCTCAAGAAATGCTTTCATCGATAAATTTAGGTTCAAAAGAGAAGAAAGTGCAAGCATTCAACGGCATGATCAAATTACAGAATGTAGATGATAAAATAGCACGAACATTCCTTGCAAGTATCGATATTTCTTGTATAAATGATGATGACTTAGTTTTTGGGGAAGTTCCCAATGTCACTTTTTTATCAATGACACCTTTTATATGGAACCGAAAAGTATTATACCATCCTCATGTGATAGATACTCTTAAGCACCCAGATTTCATTCTATCATGCAATTTATTATACTTATTAGACCAACAAAAGCACAAAATGTTATTATCAAATTTTCCTCATGCTTTTGCTGCTATTTTGTACCAGTATTCATATGTATCGTCAATACCAGCACCTGATATTATTAAAACAGCTATTTTGGTCATAGAAAACAAGTTGTCAACACCAATCAAAGACCAAAGAAAAAATTTTTTCTATGCAGTTGTTTCTACGATTGCTAGACACGGATGGGATATTGTCAAGTTCATGGAGATTAGGCCAGAGATGGAGTGGACAGAGCCATGCATTGTCTTCTCCATTTGTGAATCAAAATTCCCTGATGCAATTCAGATTTTGAAGAGAAGACAAATCGAAGTTTCCGAAATTTTGAAAAAATCAATTCCTTACGAAGAACTATTTTTCGGAGTGGGAACATGGATATCAAAGAGAGTAGAGTTCGCTGTGCACTGCGCATCACAAGAAATCATAATTTCTAATCAATCATGGAATGATTTTTTGATGATGGCCGAATCTGAAGCAAATGATGACCAAAAAGTGAAAATAAGAAACTATCTACTGCTTTGTTCCGGATCAAATAACAGGATGATCTCAAATTTACCAATGATTGCAAGACCTGGCTACGTTTAATATATTTCTTTATATTTTTTGTTTGAATAAATTTAATTTTAAAGCTTTTTCGTTCAATATACCTTTCAAATATATTAATTCGATATCAAATCAATTTGATATCATGTTTTCTGTTTATGAACCTCATTTTTAGGATGCATGTTTCTCAAATGTAACATGTTAAATGAATGAATAGCAATTCCAATAATCGAAATTTCTGAAATTGATCTAACTTCATTCCGGGATAGGATTTTGGAGTAGTGTTTCATCAACACAAAAGAATGGCACTATAAGCAATGAAAAAATCATATAAAATCTGATTCATTCTCAATATCCTAAAAATTTCCGATTTTTTTTTTATTTTTCAAATGTTTAGCTTTCTACTTTTTCTAACTGCAGCCGAAGGCGGAGAGCAATTCGTTAAAACACAGTACAAACAGTGCCCAGGGCAAACAAAGCAATATTTTCAAATCAAAAAATTCGAAATTTATCATCCTTTGGATACTCGAGGAATGAATTTGGTTATTCAACTCATTGCTGAACTTAATCATAAAGTTCAAGAACCATACTTAGAAGTTCAGCTCATAAATAGCCGAATTCCATTTCAACGTCTTTTAGATCCACTTTGCAGGCCTGGAATTTTGATTTGCCCAGCTTCATTTTCTCAAGTGGTTTATGGTGTTCAAATTCCTGTTCCCCCAACGCTTCCGGTAGGAAATTATAATATTAGACTAATTTTCAGAGAAAGAAATGATAGACTAGCTTGCTATGAAGCACCAATTAATGTTAAAGACCTTGATATTGAAAAATTACATCGCGAAGAATATGATAAGTGGGAAAGACAAGAATTAGAAGCTCTCCACGACGAATCCGAAGATGTTGAATAATTATATTTATTACCTACCTGATTTTTCTGGAAATTTTGCAATTTGCACGAAAATTTTCGAAACCAAAAACTTTCAAATTGATTTATTCTTGACTATTAATCAAATCAATTATATTACCACTAAGCAGTCATTATACTTGTTGTTTATATGTTCTTGTTTAATTTTAATTTTTTTATTTGTAAATACCTTCTATCATAGATATTTTGATTATAAGTAACTCTTAAAATTCTGTCTTAAGCAATATTTGATAAATCCTTATTTCATTATTTCAATATTTCGAACTTATTAATGAAAATATCTAAAAAGCATTAACAATTAGTTAATATTTCGAAGAATGATAATGGAGATGACTATTATCAAGAAATATTCAGTAAAATTAGAGAATCCAAATAGAATATAGCAGCTATTCAAGTTGGAGAGAGAATAATTTCAGAGTAGAACATTTAGATTTAATTATTTCTCTATTGCGAAAGTCAAAAAATAATAATTTTTGAAATTCGAATGAAATAGAGACATTTTTGAAAGGTAATTTTAAGGAAAAAAGCAAAAATGCATCAAAATATGAGAATATACATAAAATTAATAGTATTTCTTTTGTCCTCGCTCTAAATCTATCGTCCCCGTTTTTTGGCCCTTCCTTTTTTTTTCATGTCTGCTGAACAACAAGCACAACCAGCTGCTGCCCCAGCTGAACAACAGGCTACCTCCAAGAAGGATGTCCAACTCGGCCCAGTCAAGCGCGATGGCGAAATCGTTATGGGCGTTGCTCACATTTATGCTTCAAAGAACGATACATTCGTCCATGTTACAGATCTTTCTGGCTCTGAAACACTTGCTCGCTGCACAGGTGGTATCGCCGTTCGTGCTCAGCGTGATGAAGCTACACCATACGCCGCTATGCTTGCCGCTCAGGCCGTTGCTGCCCGTCTGAAGGAGCTCGGCGTTGATGGCGTTCACATCAAGTTCCGTGGTGAAGGTGGTTCATCCCGCCGCCTCCCAGCTCAGGGTGCCCAATCTGCTCTTCGCGCCCTTGCCCGTGCTGGCGTTAAGATTGGCCGTATTGAGGATGTTACACCACTCCCACACGATTCTACTCGCAGGAAGGGTGGCCGCCGTGGTCGTCGTCTCTAAATCATCATAAACTCCTCTTGTTTGCCCAAAATACTTTTCTTTATTTCATTATTACAATTTTACATAGCTTCCGCTACTATCAAATTTATTTTCATTTCAAATATTCAGATAATTTTCATTTTCGTTAGTCTTTAATTGAAAAGTCTACAGCCTTTACAAAAATTGTGACAAAACATATATGATACGCTTATCAGACACATTTTGCATTATTAAAAAAAATTCTCTAGAGATGGATTTATATAACGAGTTTTTTACCAAAATTATGAATGATTCAAACGAACTCCTTGGACACTAAAATGATTTTTTAAACCCGATTTTTAAGAAATTCAGCAATTTCTGTACTGTTTGTCAAGAGTGCATCATCAAGAGCTGTATGTCCAACTTCATCTTTTTCGTTGATATTTGCACCACGTGAGATAAGAATTTCAGCCATTTCTATTTTATTATTTAATGCTGCAAGATGAAGAGCTGTTTGTCCACAGTTATCTTTTTCATTGACATTTACATCTTGTGAGAGAATGAATTCAATTGTTTCTTTGTTATCACTAAATACTCCTCCATGAAGGACAGTTTGTCCAAATTTATTTTTTTCATTGATATTTGCACCATGTGAGAGAAGTAGTTCAACTACTTCTTTTTTACCATAAAATGCTGCTTTGTAAAGAGAGGTTTGTCCTTGTGTATCTTTTTCATCGATATTTGCACCATGTGAGAGAAATAATTCATATGTTTCATTGTAATCTGAACTTGTCGCATAATGAAGAGGTGTTTCTCCATTCAAATCTTTTGAATTGATATTTGCACCATGGGAAAGCAGAAGTTCGGCAATTTCTTTTTTATTATCCAATGCTGCATAATGAAGAGCAGTTGCTAATTCTCTATTTTGTGCATTGATATCTACACCAATGTAAAGGAAATATTCGCAAAGAGATGGAGTGTCAAATGCTGGAGATTCAACAAAGCATTCGTTAACATTATTAGTTTGATCCAAATAAACTAAAAATGTATCAAGGTTATTAAAAGTTCCGCAATAATTTAAATTGATCTCAATGTTGTATTCATTCATCAAGAATGAAACAAAGTCAATGTTATGTGAAATAATTGCATATTCCATGCAGTCTTTATCGGGTTGTTGATGCTTCAAACATTCACTCATGATGTCTGGATTTCCTCCCAAAAAAGAAAGAATAAGACAACCTTTTGTAATTTCCGAACAAAATTTTGATCTCATTAACTTGAAACAATCAACTGCTCCGTAGTAACAGCAAATTTCAAGTAATGAAGAAGCTACGTAAGAATATGCATATAATTGGCTGTTAATCTGCTGATCTTTATTAAAATGCTCCGATTCCGTGAACGAGATGAATTTTTTAAGGTCATTTTTCATAATTGCATTGCAAATTGTATTTTCTTCAAAAATATCTAGTATTTCATACTTCTCATTATTAAAATCATCGGATTTGTCTAAATTAATTCCATACTCTTTATAAAACAAGTATCTAAGCATCTTATCGATATCATGGATCTCTGTTACATGATAATCATCCGAAATGAGTTTGGCAAGTTTCAAGTATGACTTCGCGTAGCGGTTATTAAATGGAATGGTGTGTAAAATTCCATTCATAATCTTTTCTGGTGGATATTCCTTTGAATCAATGAGGTTTGTTTTGATCATTTTGTAAATCGAGTTTAATTCTTCTTCTTTTTCAGTTTTTAATTGATACAACGCATTATATGAATCAATGTAGTATTTATAAATACTTCTAAATTCACTGTATTTCTTTGGATGATTGTCTTTAGCAGACATTAAAAAATTTTATATTTCTTCATACTTAGGCGTGTATTCAAATAAAAAAATTTGGTGCTCATTGTAAGCGAAAACAATATTATACCTATGGAAAACAACGATTTCGGAAATTTGAAATGGAGAGCTACATTTTCCAAAAAAACGACATTTTAACTTTACAAAGTTTACATTTGTAAAATGTCATTTTTACCACTTGTTTGTCAAGACCAAAAAAAAAAACTTTTCAAAGTATGTTTAAAAAAATTTACGCTCTGTTGTTTTATATCCCACTAAACTAACTTATCCTACATTGCAAAAATCAAATTAATTTAATTTTAATAATTCGTTCAATTCTTCAATTGTAGAAATCCTATATGAATAATAAAAAAGAACACTATAATAAGGATCAAAATCATCTGATCGATTCCTCAGATCATAAAGGTAACGTGGAATATTAGTTTTTCCTTCCTTAATTAATTTTTCAGCATATGATGCAAACTCAAGGCACTTTTCCCATTCTTTTTCAGTCGAGAAGAAATCCCCTAATTTTAAAGGTTGAAAGTGGGAGATATTTGAGACTAGTGATTGAGTAAGCTGGTATAGTTCACTATCTTCATCTTTCCTTAAATCACAATAATTTTGGCTTTGTGTATGAAGATATTTGGCGAGATTTTGAACTTCAGTAACAAAGTTCCATGCGCTTGATTTGATGATACCGTAAATGTCATCTATCATCATTTCCAATAGGTTGTGAAGCCATGTATTCCAGTTTGTGTGAGGCAAGAGAAAACAACAAATTCGATATTTCCAAGAATTGATAATTGAAATTTGTTCTAAATATTCGTATGCTTTATCTGATACGTATGCAAGATGATTAATAATATTTTCGATTTCAGCTTGACTAAAATAGTCGAATTTTGTTTGTGACAAGAAGATTTGATATTTTTGTTGAATTTGATTATAATAAGAAAACAGTTTCGTAGGGATGATATCAGGATAGATACTATATAACTTCTCACTAAGATCAATAATCTTGAGATCAAGATTACCAGGGTCTTTTATATGGACCTTACATTTCTCAAGCACTTTCTGATGAATTTCTTCAAAGTAAGAGAAATGGTCTTCATAATTGACAATACCAGCGAACATGTGGTTTTTGAAAAATTTTGCGGCTTGACAGAAAGAAAATTTTGTAACAAACCTAAAATGCATTCTTAGGTTTTAAATTCAAATTATACTTCCTTTTTCTCAAAATATTTTACAAAGTGGGCGAAACAACGATAGATCTATGTCATAATTTTTTTTTGGCACGGAATACGAGTCATCTGAACAAGATCATGCTGCATAAATGATATAATTGGAAGATTGATCTTATCTCATATCGGAAAGTCCTCTTCAAACCAAATATTTCCAGTTCTCATCAAAAGAATTCAAAAAGTTGTATGTTTCCAAACCATATTACATCCAAAATGATTATCTGAATGATAATGTTCAATGTTACATTTAAATATCCAGACACTTCTTTTTTGAAGTGATTTTTTGTTGAATTCCAGACATCGTTCAGAAAAATATGTACAATAAATAGATTATTCAGATAGTTAATAGTTAAAACATGTAAATCCTCTGAAAATTCTTAGAATTACTAATTTGCACAGATGATCTCAAATATTCTAATTTTACAGAATGAAAGACATCTACATTGCCAAATAAGTTCTAAGATATTATTAATAAACATTTCTTTTAATATTTGATTTTTAATTTAGGGATCCCGTTTGGAAAATTAAATGAGTGTAATGGTAAATTGGAAATTTTGTGGTTGGCTGAATTAAATTTTAAAATCCGTATACGTTTAATGAATATCAAAGATTAGCGAATTTTCGTGATTGTTTGTAGCAAACCTTTTTGACCGAAGTTCTATTGATAAAGTTTGTAGATGTCTAATGACTATGAAACAGTCTACCTTTTAAATAATGAACTTGAAAACACTTTTTCTCCAAAACGCTTAGGCAGAATCTTCTGAAAGTTTAATATTATTATATCTTTTCCAAATACTATATAAATATATAAATAATATTGTCGAATCATCAAGGGATTTTTTCATATAAAATATCAAAAATTAACATATATATTCTGATGCACAGATCTCTTATTTTCTTCATGTAAGTCCCATATTTTTCAGCATTTGGAAAATTACCAATATTTTTTTTTCAATGTAGGTTATGCAGAAATAAAACTAATTATAATTGCTTAAAAGTCATACATATATTAGAGTTAAGAGTATACTTCATTATACCAAATGATATAATCTATATTGCAAGTATTGAACGACTTTGCCTGTTAGACAATTGTCAAGGAAATTTTTTTTATTTGCCAAAATAACGTTCAAACTTCCGTAGTATCTTTAAGGTACTATTAATAAACGTTTCTTTTAATATTATATTTTTAATCCAATAAAGGTACATTCACTATTTTTGACAAAATTTTAAATTTTCATGGGGTTGTAAATCTTATAATAACTAGATGAATAAGGAATGAATCCCAGTATAATGTGCATCATTATATTAAACACTATATGTAAGGCTAATGATTCTATTAACACTTATGAAGATCTATAGTATTTGAGCAGATAAATTTGATAATTTCCAAAACTCTTATATTTCAAAATTAAAGTGTGCGAATGCATTTAAATGAGAGCAAAAAGAGATTGATGCTGTTAAAACTAGGTGTTAATTTGCAATTATTTCGCATCACAAGAACTACCCAGTAAATTCGGCTATCTTTCTTTGCAATTATTCTCCATTATACATATAATATAATGGTTAGGGTTTGAAGAAAAGTTACTCGAGAATTATTGACTTTTGAAATAATGCAGAATTTTACTTGAAGAAATCATTAATTTATGAGTTCCAAATTGCTAAGCATGACGAAGGATCATTAAATTTGCTACAATTAAATACACTTATTGCAGAATTAAGATTTTTGAAATTAAAAGTTTGAAATATTGCCTTTTTGAATAAAAATTTAAATTTTATTATATAATCATGATAATATCTTATAGAAATTAAAAAAAATATTTTAAACCATTCAAATATTTTGAATGTCTTATCAATTTAAAATATTAAAAGATAGCTTGATTTTATCATCATTAGTTGTTATCAAAGTTTTCTTCTTTTGATGAACAACAGTAAATGATTTGTTAATTACTTGTCTTCCTTTTTCGCAGCAAAATCGAAAGTTATGATGATAATCTTGCTCTCAATTTTGAAACTCTCTGATTTACAAGTAAGCATTCCTTTGGAAAAGCAGTCCTATTCTGTTTTCAAGATATTTTAAAGCCTCCATTTCATACAATGCGCAGATCTATTCGAAATTGCAAGAACTCTCAAGAAAAATGCAGCAGCAAAGAAGATTCCATAGTTTCTAGCATCAAAAATTTACAACCTTAATACAACAGTTAAAGAGAAGCTCGAAAGAAAATATTTAACCATAAAGCTGGAAACCATTCGATATCTACTATTGGATCTAATAAAAAGTTAATTATAACATATTTAACATGCTATTTGTTGACTTTGTTCCATTATATTACCATATATATCTTTTTGAAATCTAAAACATTTTTACGATTTTAACCATGTGTTGTTGAAACCATATATCAATCTTAGCTAAAGTATAGTTTATGAGTCTGTCACCATCTAACGTATGAATTTTCAAAAATGTCAAATATTTTCATTTTTTCTGTAGATTCAGCCATAATTTCACGTTGTTATACTATTCAACTATTATTTAATATTTTTATTGATTTAAATATATGATGAGATGCTTAGTTCTCCTGGAAATCGATTTTTAATCGCAATTTTAACTTTCCAAAAAAATTCAAAAATAAAAATCCCTCTCAATTTTCTAAGTTTTATAACTCGCCAAATCTCTAGCCAAATTTTTTTTGGCCCGTATAAATATTGTTAGGCACTATATAGGGATGCTATTTATCCTATTTTCATCCCATTTTACTGTTATCGCCTAGTGAATGTACCTTTAAGGGTGCCCTATAGACGATAGACCACCCTCAGAAAAGCACTTTTAAGGCTATTATATTGAGAACTAGAATCTGGATAATCCATTCATTCGAGTTCTAATAAGGTTAATTTTGTGATGTTTACATTATCGTTATAGGGCACCCTTAATCCAATATAATTTTTTTTGACAGATTTGTCGTGTATTCGACGCGTATTTCGGGAAACTGTATGTATGCATATAGAGGCATATTACAAACATTTACACATTGTGATTTTGTATCTCAGAGTGAGCGGACAGACTCTGATTTGGAGAGGTAACAATATGGATTGAACTACTTTGTAAAAATTAAGTTAATTTAATTTTAATACTTTGTTCAATTCTTCAATTGTAGTAACTTTTTTTGAGAAATAAAAAACAACAACATCATAAATAGGATTATATTCTTCTGACCGATTATTCAGATCATAAAGGTAATGTGGAACTCTATTTTTCCCTTCATTAATTAATTTTTCAGCGTATGATGCAAACTCAAGACATTTTTCCCATTCTTTTTCGGTCGTGAAGAAATTCCCTAATTTTAATGGTCGAAAGAGGGTAAAATCTTCGGCTAGTTCTCGAGTAATTTGGAGTAGTTCACCATCTTGACATTTCCTTAAATCACAATAATTTTGGCTTTGTGTATGAAGATATTTGGCGAGATTTTGAACTTCAGTAACAAAGTTCCATGCGCTTGATTTGATGATACCGTAAATGTCATCTATCATCATTTCCAATAGGTTGTGAAGCCATGTATTCCAGTTTGTGTGAGGCAAGAGAAAACAACAAATTCGATATTTCCAAGAATTGATAATTGAAATTTGTTCTAAATATTCGTATGCTTTATCTGATACGTATGCAAGATGATTAAGAATATTTTCTGTTTCAATTTGACCAAAATAGTGGAAATGTGTATATGACAAGAATGTTTGATATTTTACTTGAATTTGATTATAATAAGAATACAGTTTCGTAGGGATGATATCAGGATAGATACTATATAACTTCTCGCTAAGTTCAATAATCTTGTCATCATATTTACGAGGGTTATCTATATGGATCTTACATTTCTTAAGCACTTTCTGATGATATTCTTCAAAGTTAGTTAAATTGTTTTCATAATATACTAAACCAGCTAGCATGTTGTTTTTGAAAAATTTTGCGGCTTGACAGAAAGAAAATTTTGTAACAAATCTAAAATGCATTTTTAGGTTTTAAATTTACGAATATGGATTATAATGGAATTGCATGGAAAAATTGAATGTATAGCGACCACGAAAGTACGTTATATGACCGAAAATCAATATCTTACAACTTAATTTCATGAACTACTATACGAGATATTGTTATGTAGAGAGGCTGACTCCAATAATCATTATTTTAGTTTCAATCAATTATTTACTGTTAGAATGCTTCTTTTCTTATTAATTGTATATGTACATCGGCTACAGATTTAAAATTAACTATATATTTGCTTTAAATGTAGGATTGATATTATGGGGGTGTAAAAGGAACCGTAATTATAGTTCAAAAGACCCTGAATTTACAACTGTTTTAATTGATATCATATGATATTCGATCTTCCTCCACGCACTCAAGGGGATTCACCAAGGAAAATGCCTCCAAGGAGCATGTCTACGCCATACAATATTACCAATCATACAAAACCTACGCAGAGAGAAACCAATATTTTGAATTTTGCAGAAACAAATGATTCGGTTTTGGATAGCTTTAGTCCCGAAGACCAAGCACTTCTGAGAGAGTTAGAAGCCACAGAAACAAGCGAATTAAATTCAAATCTCGCAAATATTCTTGAAAAACAGATAGAATTAAATAGAAGAGTTGAACAATCAATGAATAAATTTACAGAAACAATACAACAAGCTCAAGACTTAATTCCATACCTAACGGATTCTACAAACAAATATCAGGAAGCTCAAGAAATTGCTGCTAATATTAGCGCAATAACGCAGTTTAGAAATTTAGATGCAGCAGATTTGACTCCAAAAAATACATCTTTGTTTGAATAATGTTTGTGTTATATAAAAATGTTATTTTATAGTATGATTCTTTTTCAATTGAAGTATACACAAGATCTGAAAACAATAGGAAGACATTTGTAAAAAAATTGTTATAATATTTTTTCGGATTCGCTTTTTACCGGGCAATATACTTATGAGATGCCAAGGTAGAAAGATTACTGCATGAAATTAAGAAAATTAGATTGTAGGATGTTCATTGAAAAAAAATCTTCAAAAAATTCTGAGAAACTAATGTCATTTAGATTTTATTTAAATTGATATTTCCAAGCATATTACATTGAACATAAAAGAAATGTGCTCTCAATTAAAATTTTAGAAGACAAATCTGATGACTGAGGTAGTTGATGACGCAGTAGTGAAAGTACCATGCTGCATTTGCGGTGTCCCAACAGAACCAAATCCATTCAACATGTGCATTGATTGCTTAAAGCAGAAGGTCGATTTTACAGACACAGTTCCAAATACTTCTGCTGTTGTTTACTGCAAGAACTGTGGCCGTTATCAGACTGGCCCAACAACATGGCAGCATGCCGAACTTGAATCACCAGAACTCTTATCCATTTGCTTATCCAAAGTCAATGGCCTCAAAGACATGAAAATCGTTGATTCTCAATTCTTATATACAGAACCACACTCTCGCCGTATCCGTGTATCTCTTACTCTTCAAAAAGAAGCATTAAATGGAACAGTCCTTCGCCAAACAGTCATTGTCACATTTGTCGTCAACATTGTCCAATGCCCTAAGTGTGTTGAAGCAGCTACACCACGTGAGCACTGGATTGCTAACGTTCAGCTCCGTCAAAACGTTAGACACAAAAGATCTCTCTTCAGACTTGAGCAGCTTATCCTCAAGCACAGAGCCCATGCAGGCACTACATCACTTGAACGCGTTGATGACGGCGTTGACTTCCATTTCCCAGACAAAGCCGGTGCAAATCGTTTTATCAACTTCTTACTTCAGCATTCTCCAGCCAAGTACGATGAAACAGCCAAGCAAGTTGGTGAAGATATCCAAAACGGTACTCTCGATATGAGATTCTCATATCCAGTCAAAGTTCCACCAGTATGTCGCCAAGATTTCGTCATTTTACCAGATTTCTTTGTCAAAAAGACAGGAAACCAAGCTCACGTAGCTGTTGTCCACAGAGTTACTAAGATTATCCGTCTTGTCGACCCAATGACAGCAACACCAATCGACATTGATGGTCCAACATACTGGAAGAACCAATTCGACCCTGTCTGCACAATCGACTCCGTTACAAAGTTCAATGTATTGAACATTGAACCATTCGGACCAAGGAACGGACAGTTCCAATTAGCTGATGTCGAATTGGCCGATGAAAACTACGAAGAACAGATCATGGTCAGGACACATCTCGGCGACCACTTACACATTGGAGAGCCATGCCTTGCATACGATCTCAGGACACTTGTTCTCCCAGACAAGGTCGAAGATGTCATCAAGAAATACGACATCTCCAAAGTTATCATCGTTGGCAGGACACACGAAAAGAAACACGGCATCAGAAAGTGGAAGGTCAAAGAACTCGCTCCTCATAAGTCTTCTGATGATGAAGAGTTCGAGAACTTCATGGATGAGATGGAAGATGACAAGGAACTCAGACAAGATGTCGATATCTACAAGAACCCAGACGCTGAAGGAAAACCAGAAAATCAACTCTTGGAAACAACAATCGGACTTTCTGAGATGAAGATCGATGAAACTGGTGAGCAATATTCATTCACACCAGAGTATTTGAAGCATTAAAAGTTCATAGAGTTTTATATTTATAATAAAGTATAAATTTATTTTATTCTTATTTACTTCTTAATCAATTTTTTTTAATTTCATCAATGCAATTATGTATTCATTGATTATGCTTCAGATTTCATAATTGTCTTATTCAGAGCGAATGGTTTCGAAACAAACTTAAATGTGTGAACATACATCCGAATAACATATCATTCAATTCACTTGTTTAATGATGATTCATATTATTTGTAAGAATTTTTAATTAAGGTCAGATGTATACAAGATTATCCTTAAATAGACTTCAATTTTAGAACAAAGATTTTTTTGACAATGCATCAAAAATTACTTTACATGTCAAAAAATTACAATAAAATAAAGGATCTCCTCAACGACTCAATTTGGCTTTATTAAGAACAATGATAAGTGTCTAGTTTACTAAACCTGCATTAATGAACATCATGAAAGATATTTAATAAGGAAAATATAAAATTTTGATTGAAATTTTACTCAACGAATAAGAAATATAAAACATTAGCAGACAGGGATTATAGCTCCGTGAAATTATAGCCTATTAGTTGCGTGACAACCAAAGATACAGTTTATGAGAAAATTTTATTGAATAGAGTGTGGCCAATTTGATTTGTTAGTTGGATATACTCTCTCATGAAAAACTATTTTCAATGGTTTATGACATTAAACACAATCTCATATATTTAGTCGTGAAAGAAGAGCATGAAAATTTTGTCCTACTGTCACTTTTTCATAATTATGAATCAAGAAATTATAGAGTTTTTAGCTAGTACAACACATATTACAGATGAGAACAACGAGAAAATCATGAGATTTGCCGATGAACTTATAGAAGATCGAGCAAATTTCTTCCCACTCGCTGAAATTGCCGTTGGTCACACAGATATGTCTATCAAACATGCTGCAACAATCTATATCAATAAGATTATCGATAAGATCAACAATTTTTGGGATGAAATAGATCAATCTGAACAAAATCAATTTTTGAATTCATTCATTTCAATTTTACAATCAAATTTAAGTCCTTCCGCACTCCACACACTACTCCACTCCATCATTATCCTATATGCAAATGTCAACTGCGAATGGCCAGATTTAATCAACTTAATTTTAGAAATGCTCAACTCAGATCGTATTAAAACCGGCCTTAAAATACTCAACTCAATATTTGTCATTATAAATGATGCCACTTACGCTCAAATTTCTTCGAATTTTCTTAATATTGCCTTTAATTCACTGAATTCACCAGATATTGAATTACAATTCCAAGGATCCGACTTATTGGCGAACTGTGTCAAGAAGCATCAAGGCGAAGAGATAGATTATTCAGAACATGTCAAATTAATGCTAAATTTAGTCTTAAATTCAGAAAAGCTCCATCACGATGAGTTCTGTGAGTTCTGGGAGAACGTAAAACTCCTTGTTTTCCTTCAGATCTTTACTCCAGAACAAGTTCTTGAAATTGCCAAATTTGTCTTCACTCTTGCCTCAGATGAGGACATGAGCCCCGACATTATCTCAATGCCATTGAGATCCTTGATTCCAGCCCTCGATTCCCTTGGAGAAGAAGCTGCATCCAAATTATTGGAAATTTCAATTGACATTTGTGCTAGAACTATCAAACTAGACAACGAAATACCAGTAGACCAGCTCAAAGAACTCGAAGATTCCTTCCATTCCTACAGCCACCAAGAAATTTATCCAATAATTCGAACAATTGTGTTGGAGAAGCTTTCTTCTGAAGATGTATCCCAACAGATTGCATCATTATTGGTATTCTCAGTCATTCTAACTGAAGCAAAGGACTGCGCGTTCGCAGATATCCAACCAATCCTTGAATTCATTGACTCGGCCATTTCTTCCGAAAATCCTTTGTTGCAACAAGCTGCTCTTACATGTATCAACAAGTTTGATGACTCTTTCGCTTCAATTAACGTTCACGGAATGCATTTCCTTTCTCAGGTCATTTCCCTTTGCGCATCCCCTGTTTCGGCGATAAGAGATGTGGCCTACCAAGCTGCAGAAACGGTTTTGAATCCATCTGACCACAAAATTCCAGGACTTTTTGCAGATGTAGTCAAATTACTCGAAACTCTCGATACCGTGGCCGAAGGAGAGGAAGGTGATGCTCAGAATATTACAGAGACCAAGTGGTCGTCCTTCCTTTCCCTTCTTGCACCGACAATTAACTTATCCGAAGAATTTGAGGACGAACAAGTGGACGAAATCCTCGGCTTGGTCGAGAATATCATGTCTGAGCACGGCGACAACCCGTCCTTCCTCATGCCGCTCTTGGATATTGGTGTGGCCCTCATAAGAAGAGACGAGACACAGGCGGAATATATTTTGGAAATGTTGAACCCAGCGGTTTCTTTATTGTTAAAGGATGAATCACAAGCGAGAAATATATTCCACGCTGATTACTTCTTAAAGAATATTGCTTTGACGATCGGAGACGCATCATCTGAATTTATTTCGCCATTCTTGGAAACATTGATCTCCAGATTGCAGATTAATATAAACGAATTAATATTATCTGGTTCTTTGGAGAGTTTGGCCCAGTTTGTCATTTCTTGCCCTTCATTAAAAGAAACTGTACTCGAACCGCTATTGAAAGTCATCGTTCCTGCCTTCTCTGAGGATGATGGTGAAGAAGGAATCGTTCCAACAACAGCTATGGCCACAGCAAGAGCTTTGAAGAAAGATTTCCCAGCTGATGTACAATTATTAGTATTCCAGAAGGTTGTGGATATCGCCGTTGAAGACACAGATGACGCTGATGACGTCGGCGATGCTTTCTTGACAATTTCAAAGATTATTAAATATCTTCATGAGGAAAACAAAGAACAAATCATCGGAAAGTGCATTGAAATCACAAACTCTATCATCAATGCTACTCTTCCTTTCCTCCATGGCCAGCAACTCATTGAAATTCCTTCATTCGCTATCGTGGCCCGACCAATTGAGCACTTTTTGGCAGCCGTACTGAGATATCCTGTACCGGAGAGTGATGCTATCTGCAAATTCCTCCTCGAATGGCCAATAGAAAGCACTGAATTTGAAGCTGATGATATAACAGGAGCTTACACAGAAGCTATCAAGACAGGAGTTATTTCTGATGATATAAGAGAAGGAATCTTCCAGTCTGTCAACCAGATGTTCCAGAATTGCCAAGATCCAGGTGTTCAACAGAACTTAGTTTTCTTCCTTAACACTATTTTGAGGGCCAACCACTCAGTTATCGAACAGATCTTACAGTTCTTGCCAGTAATCGATGAATGGTACAATATCGGAAAGAACCAAATTTACGGATACCAAGACACACTTGCAAACATTGCTTCTCTTTATCTGGAGATCGCCGCAGCAATGCCTGACTTCCCAGATCAACAGTTGATTCAAGCAATTGACGAATTTCCTCCATCAGACGTCTTAGAAACACCGATGATGGCCAAATGCTTGTTGACTATTGTTCCGAGATTGAATAACGCTGATATTTTGGGACATGTCGCGTTGGCTTTGGCGAGATTCGTTGTTTGGGATGATAAAAACATCGAAAAAAGTAAAATTGATCAGTCATTGAAGGATCAGTTGTACGGACTGTTCAAACAGATTGTTCAGCAGAACGAATCATTGATGGGAGTTTTGCAGAATGATTACGCAAAGCAGAGAGCTAAGATGAGAAGATTACAAGCTGTTCTTAACTAATTTTTATTTTATTTTTATATTTTTTTGTTTTAGAGATTTTTATTTTATAGAGATATTCTTTTTAAAAAATTTCATTATTTGTTAACGATCTATTTTATATAATTTTTAATAATTATCTAAGGTATACGAGCAGGAACTAATCCATGATGACCTCTTCGCAGGATTCTGATTCCTTCAGGAAAGCTCTAATTCATTCTTAAATCATTTCATCGAAATCTGCTTTTTTTTATACCTTTTGAATATACATTGGACAATATTATAGCTTGCAGTTTTGATAACTTGGAATGAATGCCAAATACACTATCTTGTAATACTATCATATAAAATTTAAATCGTGCAAGATTGTTGTCCATGAATCATTGTGGTTAAGGTCACTTTAATACAATTGATCGCATTAGAATTATGAATATTTATGAAAGAAAAGGTTTTTTGTGAGCAATACAATATAAAAATGCATCTGATTATAGTTCTAAATACTTGAATGACTGGATGTGAGATCTAAAAAATTGTTGTTATTTTTTAATATGAAGATTTAAAAGAAAGTAATTTTATTATTCTTGAGAGACGAAGGAGTTAAAAAACTACAACTTCATCGACAAACATCCAGTGTGGATGGTCACTATATACTGCAGCCTGGAACCTGATGTATCTTCCATAAGCAGCGCCTTTCCATCCCTTCGCTTGGTAAGCAGTTGTTGGGGAGTCAGTCCATTGGTAGTGTTCATCCATGATATTCATGAATGTTGTACCATCATAAGAGAGTGAAATTTTAACGTGTTCAGGAAGATAAATCATTTGTTGGTCGTTTCTCAAGAATGTTGCATAGATCTCGTGCATCTCAGTAACATTTTCGAGATCAATAGTTACATCAAATGTATATTCATAGGAAGTACTGTAATGGAATCCTTGCCATGTTCCATCATCGAAATTCCAATTTCCTCTTTTTCCATTAGTCATTTCTTTATCTCCACCAGCAACATATGTCTGCTACAACAGTTCCATACGCAGGCCAAGGCAAGCCAGCAGCTGCTCCAGCTGGTGATGGTGCAAAGGCTCCTGCTGCTGCTGCTCCAGCAGACAAGAAATCAGCAGATAAGAAGAAATAAGCTGAATAATATTATCTAAACTGTGATTTATTTTTTTAATTTGTTCTAATTTTTTCTTTTTTCTTTTTTTATTTACATTTACTATCAACACTAAATACAATACAATAAATAACTACAATTACATTCTCAAAAACTATTCACCTCTCATTTTTACTTAAATTTTTTTAATTTTTATTCAAATCTTTCTACATATATGAAATCCATTACATAATCATATGTACATTATAATACTTCATATAAACATTCATTGTCTTATTAATGAAGATATGCATTCTCATTAATCGTGAATTTCCTTAAGATAGAAAAAATATATTTTATGTTAGCATGTTAGATCTAACACGTTTTCTAACCTCTTTTCTAACATGGTCTAAAACACACAAAACTCATGAATTTTGTTGCTGAATTCAATAAAAATATATTTTAGGTGAAGAGGTGAGATCTCACCTCTTTTTTCACCTAATTTTTCACCTCAGTTATTTTATAAGCGTTTTACATGGTAAACGTTATTTTTACATTATGACACGAAGTGAAGATTTGCACTTCGTCAAATTTTATAAAAAATTAGCGTTATTTTTACATTATGACACGAAGTGAAGATTTGCACTTCGTCAAATTTTATAAAAAATTAGCGTTATTTTTACATTATGACACGAAGTGAAGATTTGCACTTCGTCAAATTTTATAAAAAATTAGCGTTATTTTTGGAATTTTGTGAAAACTCAACGGTTTGACACATGCCATATGCCATTTTACTCAGAATTTTGTGCTGAATTCAGCAAAAATATATTTTATGTTAGCATGTTAGATCTAACACGTTTTCTAACCTCTTTTCTAACATGGTCTAAAACACACAAAACTCATGAATTCTCGTGAATTTCCTTAAGATAGAAAAAATATATTTTATGTTAGCATGTTAGATCTAACACGTTTTCTAACCTCTTTTCTAACATAACTATTTACAAGCGTTTTACATGGTATATGTTGCGATGGTTCATGACTTTAAACAATTTCGTAGCTTCTATTTCTTCTTTTAGTACATCGAATGTTTTAACTATGCCGAAGGTTTCTTTATACTTCTTCTTGACGTCAGATAGAAGGAAATCGTCAGCAGTTGGATAGTTTTTGTTCAGAAATGCTAACATGTCCATTTTATCTTCTGCTGGTTTTTCTGCTTCTTTCTTTAAGTCTGCATAGTCGTTTCTCATACGTTCTATCTCTTTGACGGAGTAGTTATATCTCCTCATTGCTGCTTTACATTTAGAACATTGCGGGTTCATTTTTGCGTTATACATTGAAATAAAACCAGCTAAAACAACCAAGGCGTCAATGGTTTTCTTTAACTCAAAAGCTGCTGGTTTTATCTGTTCATTCCATACCTTACCTCTTCTATCTTTATCTCTTATCTGCCATACACATTCTGCAACTAACGAAACAAAGTTGTCGTAGGTCTTAAACTCCCCAGATTTATATATGTCAGAAACATTCTTATATACCATGTCGCAATCTTTGTCCATAACTTTATGGTTGCAATGAAAACCAAGGAATTCATAATTTACCTTTCGTATGAACTTCTTTATTTCTACTGAGTCAATTGGTTTGACTTCAATTTCGTCAAATTCAGGAATAGTGAGTTTTTGTTGTTGGATTTCAGGTAGTTTAGGCAAATGGTCAATAATGTCCTGCATTTCATAAAGATATTCTTCATTTTCTTCATCCTGTGCGGTACAGTCTAAATTACTTGTTAAAAGTTCTTGCTTTATCTTCTGGATTTCTGTTTCAAAAGTATATGAAGAAGGAATGAAGCTTTTCATTTCTACTAACATAGATGTTGGATTCATGACTAAAGAGTTTGGTGCTGTTGTTGCTAACATGTTCTTACAATAAAAATAAAAAATATTTTTTTAAAAAAACTAACTTTATTTTTTCTATCTTAAGGAAATTCTGTATAAAATTCTTGAGTTTTGTGTGTTTTCTACGATGTTAGAAAAGTGGTTAGAAAACGTGTTAGATCTAACATTCTAACATAAACATTATTTTTTGGTCGTTTACGCTCATTACGATGAAGTTTCGACAAAACATTTACGTTCATGTTTGACAAAACATTTACGTTCATGTTTGACAAAGCATATACGAAGAAGTCTTGACAAAGCATGTACGATGAAATCATGAAAATTCAAGAGGGTAGAAAAGTGGTTAGAAAACGTGTTAGATCTAACATGCTAACATAAACATTCTCGTCAAATACAAAAAAATGAAGAATAACTTTCACTTTTTCATTATATAACTGTTATTTTTGACGAAGTGAAGATTGACACTTCGTCAAAAAAATCCCTGAAATCATATCTTACATACAAAAAAATGAAGAATAACTTTCACTTTTTCATTATATAACTGTTATTTTTGACGAAGTGAAGATTTGCACTTCGTCAAAAAAATCCCTGAAATCATATCTTACATACAAAAAAATGAAGAATAAATAAAATAAAACTAACTTTATTTTTTCTATCTTAAGGAAATTCATGAAAATTCATGATTTTCGAGAGTTTTAGACCATGTTAGAAATGAGGTTAGAAAACGTGTTAGATCTAACATTCTAACATAAACATTATTTTTTGGTGTAAATTTCATTGACTGACTGACTGACTGACGGCACAAAGTGGCTTAGCGAAAACATTAATATATAAAATTCATGAAAATTCATGAGGGTGAGAAAACGTGTTAGAAAACGTGTTAGATCTCACCTCTTCACCTAAATTATATTTTTGGTCCGGGAACAACTTTCTCTCAATTGGAGCTGTAGCATAATCTTTGCGTAAACGGTTCAGACCTTCTTCGAACTCTTGGTCTCTCTTCGATTTGGATTGAGATTGGAATTGCTGGGGTGGAGCTTGCTGGAACAACCAAGGGTTGGGGAAGTAAGGCATAGGCTGAGATTGGAATTGGAATTGCTGGGGTGGGTAGTAACCTTGAGGTGGAAATTGGTAGTAATTCGGAGGTACTTGCTGGAACTGAGGTGCAGGGGCTGGTGATTTAGGTTCCTCTGGTTTGGGAATGGACTCGGTTGGTGGGACGTCGGACATTCGTTTGTGTCCTGTCGGAAGGAAGAACTTTTCCTGTCGGAAGGAATTTTTTTTCCCTTTGTCCGGAAAATTTTTTCCTGTCGGATGGAAAAATTTTTCCTGTCGGATGGAAAATTTTTTTCTGAAGTTCGACCAAAAAGTTCTCAATTTTCGAAAATTTGAATGGTTTACGGACGGACAACTGGAAGAGTTCTTCCTGTCGGAAGGAAAAATTTTTCCCTTTGTCCGGAAAATTTTTTCCAGTTGTCGGGAAAATATTTTCCTGTCGGATGGAAGGACTCGGAATGCCAGAAGGATTTGACGAGGCAATTTACCTAATTGAACTTAACGACTGCGTAAAAGACTACTTGCGCAAAGTCATGAAGCCCAAGGTCAAGTTCACCACTATTTCTGGAAGGGCTGCCTTGACTCTCGAGATTTCGACTGGAATTCCAATTGAGGTACCAGACGGGACAGCCTACGACGACATAAAGCAAGCAAAGAAGGAAGCCATTATAAAGTTCTTTGCCAAGCGTCCTTGGATACTACTTCCAAACAGAGAGAGTCCAATTCCACGAATTATACAAATTCTCAGAGCACTGTTCCACTTCTCTGGTCAACCATTCTACATAACCTGTGAAGGCGACATCCAACCAGTTCAGTAAACCTTAACGTTTAGAGTAAAAACATTTTTTTATGTTTTTTGTGAAAGTGTCAAAAATAAATTGTTTTCATGAGTTTTCTACGATGTTAGAAAAGTGGTTAGAAAACGTGTTAGATCTAACATGCTAACATAAACATTATTTTTCAATACTTTTTCAGCACTTTTCCGTAGTTATATATGAAAGACAATTCGAGATAAAAGTCATAGTACAATGGAATAATATGTTGCACACCATTTGTTGTGAACCAAACTTGAAAGTCAGAGAAACTGTTACTAGGTGGTTCGTAGAATTTAGAAGCAAAGTCATAAAGGTCCTTACCAATACATAGAAAACTATTGTTGCTTGAACTGAAACTTGCATGACACATAACATTTTGAGGGTCAAACACGTTTCTATAAACTGTCAAATCTGCTGGTGGAAGTATAAATTTAAATGGACCATCTGGTGGTAATGGTTCGTTCTGGTTTAGTAACCGAAGAAATTGTGCCCAAGAACGTTTGTCTACTTTCCAAAATAAAAACTCTGTATCTCTTGGAGGGTTAATTTCAATCTTTTGAAATGAAACGGTGGAGTTCATCTTGTCATATTCTAGTTTCAGATAGTATGTTCCATTTAGTAAAGAGTCGTATTTTTCTTGAAATTCCCAATAATATTTGTTCATTTGAGTTTGAAAGTCATTTAGAGTTTTCTCAAGACTTTCATCTGAACGAACTGTGAAGATTCTCATTTCGTCAAATTTGTCTATTAGACCATCAGAACCTTTATACTGCCCATGAAAATATACTGCGAACATAAATGCGTTAGTTCTATTTGAAAACAAAACTCTTCTAAATCCTATTGCCTTTGCATCTGAAGGACTTTGAAGCCAACGAATTGGATAGTCAAACCTGTATACTCGGGATGAAATTTCTTCATCTGAAATAGTCCTACCAGCATTTGTAAAGATATAGTCTAACGGTTTTGTATCTGCTACTTTTGTTCTTTGTTTTTCAACCTGAAGCATTTAATATATGTAAAAATATATTGTTTTAAAATGGTATGCCATATAGCTTCTTGAATTTGTTAAGAAGTATTTGAACGTATTTTCCATCTGTATCTCTAGTGTTTACATAAGCAAACTCAGCGTACATTTCAAATAAAAATTTTTTACTTCATGCAATGTTTTATTTCTGTGCCGTCTTCAAGTATGCCCCAATATTTCCTTTTCGATATTACATGAACTTCGGAAAATACCTTATCTAGCTTAAAACAGCCCATCTTCTCACCGACTAAACCCATTTCAATGAGTTTGTTATAGCCTTCTTCGTTCGTCATGAGTGCGTCAATGTTCTCATAGTAAACCACAACTTTCGATTTGACTTCGGAGAAGAATTTGTTGTAGTTGTCAAGGACTGCCTTTGCGAACTGAGGGTAAGACCAATGTTCGACAATAGGTTTTAATGTGGTTACTAAGCCACTTTGACCTTGAGTGAATTCGTACTTCAAAACAAAAGGAGAAAACCTTTCAACAAAGTTGTCGACCTTCTCATAATGTTTACTCTTCATCTCTTGAGGTTTCTTAATGGAATATCCCCATGTCGAATTCATAAGCAATTTGAGTGTCATTGCAAGTTTGGGGTTTGAAGCTTTCCTAATATCATACAGTTGTTGTATGACTTTTCCAACTGTATAGTTCCTTCCCGGGAACTCACCATCTTCGTTTGGAATTCCAGTCGGAATATATTGGACAAACCTCATGTATGCAGCGTTAAGGTCGACATAGTATATCTTTTCGTTTGAGTCGAACTTGTCGCAACCAATTGGTCCAGTTTGTGGAAATTCAAGTGAGTCTCTTATCTTCTGAGAAACTTCTCCTGTTATCTCATAAACATCGTCGAAGCAACCTGTTTCATATAAAACCTTCTGACCTAACTCAGATGCTCTCCAATACAATTTGACGTCAATTGGATGTCTCAATGGAAGTTTGTTTATAGCATCTTGAAGTTCTTGCAACCTCATTGGAAGTTCTTCTGGTTCAGGTTGGTATCCGAACATACCAACTCCTTGTGGAACTGTGTACTTCTTTTGTACTAGAACTTTGTCTGGAACAACTTTTGGTCTTGCTAACAATGAAAAGTTTGTTTCGTCTTTTGGTACAAAAGTTTCTGTCAGCTTGTCATCTGGAATTGGTTCCAACAAACCTTTCTCGAAAAGAATGTTTACAGCTCTGACAATGTTGCACTTGCCTTTTCCGAACAATGGGTTTGTAAGACTTTCGTTCAACATGAAGTGGTTATGGACAATTACAATCTTCAACCATGGTAAATTGAACTCAACAACATAGTCGTCATGTGAAGAACCTTTAGCTGTAGGTATGTTGACTCGGATATTGACATTTGCCAACGGTGCAATTTTTGCCAATTGACCTCTGAGAATGTACCTTGTCTTCACACATGACTCAAGATACTTCATCTTCTCATCTGTAACAAGACCAGAGTTCCTGAGACATGTAAGAATACAAGGTTCATTGACAATTGTTTCAATTGAATTGTAAATTCCATACCTTGTCAAGTCAATGTCAGACTTATTTATGAAGGGGAAGTATCCAGCATGTTGTCTGACTGCTTGAGGGTTAGGTTGGTACCATTCGAACTTGACACTTGCAATTCCTTCAATTGCATTAAAAATGTCTGAGTCGGAGTCAACCATTTGTTCTCTCTTTGTAGTCTTGAAAGCGTCAAGAAGTTTTGCGGCTGTTTGTTCATTGCCATGTGCATAGTAAATGTGACCATCCAAATCTGTTATGGTCAATCTGAGATTGTGTCCTTTCTTATTTCCGTCTTGAATTGCAGCAAGTACTCCCATGAAGCCTTCTTTGTTCTTTCCTTCGTCAAAGTTTACTGTAAAGGTTCGACCAGATGTAATTTGACTTCTAACTTCACGATACTTTTCATATGCATATCTTGTTCTTTCCATGGGAGCATGACCATCCTCTGCACTACCTTTTTTCCTTCTCAAAGGATGCAATTGTTCGTCATGTTTCCAGTAGAATCTGGCAAAGCCGTCGTGTCCTTCAACTTGAGGTTCACTAACATCGAAAGGCATGTCCATAAGACGTTCTTCTTCTAACCTCTCTAGTCTGTTTGGATAATTGGCACGTGCTGTTTCCAAATCCATTTCGTAGCGAAGACCAGACAATTTGTCATAGACTTTTATGGGTCTTCCCTTCCTATATTTAAAATTCTTCGAAACTCTCCAACCATATCTTTGTAACTCTGCTTTTATTCTAGCAGACTTTCTATCCATTCTATATGGGGGCATTTTTATAAAAATAAAAAAATATTTTTTTCTTTACTTAACATAACTGCCTGCTGCCATAAGTCTTTGACGCCAACCCATACCAGCTAATGAAGGTTGACTTGGTTTAGTTTCCAAACTAAACTTTGGTTTTGGTTTATCTTCAGTTTTTGGTTTTTCTTCTTCTATCGGTTTTTCGTCACTTTTCGGTTCCTCTGACTTTACCTCACCTGCAGGAACAGTTGTGTCGTCAACATCTTCATAAATATCATATGCCATTTGTTTTTGTTTTCCTTTCAACTTTTTGTGTTTGTTGTAAAGTTTAGAATATTTCGACTCTAAGTCAATGAGATGTTCTATAATGAACTGTTGGTCAGTGAAGTAAACTTTTCCATCTGTTGTCTCGAAAGCTCCTTCAGACTTCAATATTTTATTTGTGAGAGTCTGTTTCTTTTTTGAGATACTAGCCGTTCCATTTTTATGAAAAGTGACTTTATAGTTAGGGTTTGTATTTCCAGACCTGGCACTTTCTATTATTGAATTTTTCTCTTCATCTGTAAGTTCTTTGACGGGTTTTGACAATGGTTCTGAACTTTTTGTTTGTGGTGTCAAATCTACCGTTTCAACTTCTTCGGTCATTTCATCTCAGTAAAAAATTTTAGTTTGGTTTGTTTTCAACCGGTTGTTGTTGTTTTTTAAGTCGGTCTAAAACTTCCTGAGGTATAGGAAGAACTTGACAAACACGTGGTGTAACTGCTGGAAGCCGACAAATCCATCTTGAACCCATTTGTCTCAATGCTGTATTGTTCATTTCATCTCAATAAAAAACTTTACATTCCCCAAGTTTGAGGTGGTTGCGGTTGGTTATTGCTTACCCATTGTTGTGCATGGTTATATCCTCTGTTAAAGAATCTTTCACCTTGGTCCATATAGTGTCCTGCTTGGTTATAGTAGTCATTTGCTTTGTTATAATAGTTTCCTGCTTGTCTTCCTACATTGTCCATCCATCCTTGAACTTTTCCTCTTGTTTCAGGATTTGGAATAAGATTTGTTGCATCTCGTGCTACATCCCAACCTTTCTGTACAGTTTGTATAATAGGTTGTGCTTTCTCTTTAAGTATACCTAATGTACTCAAAATCTTCCTTCCAACTCCAAATACACCTCTGGCTATTGTTCCCACTGCGGGCAAAAATCTGGATGCAACTCCTGCTAATGCGCCAAATAAACCCATTTCTTATGGGTTAAAAAATGACGAATCCAAACAAGGACCCCTATGTTTCTAAAGCGACAAAAAAAGCACTCATGATAAAAATCTTTAGTTCAACACCAAATGCTTGGTTTATGGACATCTTGGAAAACATTCCGAGGTATAGAGAAGATGGACCTCCATACTGGTTAATATTTGTTGGTCAAAACACAAGATACTGTGAAGCCATACCATTATGGTCCAAAAATATTTTAGATGTGAAAACTGCTTTGACAATATTCGTTGACAAATACCATCCAACAAAACTGACATCTGACTGTGAAAGTTCTTTCAAATCAGATGATGTAAAAATATCTGCGTTCAAAAAATGTAAACCAATATTTCATTGTCGACCAAAACCATTCTGCTCTTGGTGTCATTGACGGTTGTATAAAAATGTTAAGAGACTTAAACCAACCACAAGGTGGTGAAGCAAATGAAATGTCATATGACGACAAATATAGACACTTCTCCATG